TTTAAACCAGACACAGCACAGCAAATCGGAGGCGTTGAACTTTGTAGCACAGGATGGTCAAAACATAGGAAAATCACACCCGAAGAATGTGAAGAAAGGTTAGACAAAATTGAAGAAGATGTAGAAAGAATTGATAAAGATGTTGAACAATTAAAACAAAACAATATGAATTTATTAGATTAATATTTAAAGATTAATATCTATATAATATTGACAGTGTATAGTAAAGTCCCAGACATTGAAACAGGAATATCCCCGAACATATGCCCACGCTCCGTGATTGCATAAGTGTCCCAAAACATCGTGAGCGAGCAAGAGAAAGGGGAAAGTATCTTGGAACGCTTACATAATTGATACTACATAAGATAGTGTCGCGAATTCGTTTGAATTTACATACAATGGAATGCCATTATATGTAGATTTATTAGAGTATGTATTTAAAGAAAAGATACATTATGATATATATGGATATGAATAAATACCATAATGGTAAAATTTATAAAATCGTTGATGTTGGATATAATAAGCAGTATATCGGTAGCACTACTGAAAAGTTAAGTCGGAGATTTGCTCATCATAAAGGGTGTTATAAAGCATATCAACGCAGTGAATACAGACACACTCGGTCTTTTGATTTATTTGAAGAATACGGGGTTGAGAACTGCAAGATTGAACTTCTGGAAAATTTCAAATGTGAGACGAAGGAAGAGTTATTAAGACGAGAAGGAGAATTTATACGAGATACGGATTGTGTAAATAAGATAATTGCTGGTAGGACTAAAAAGGAATATTCTGAGGAATATAGAGAATGGATGCTTAACCTTAAAAAAATGTATAGACAAACACACAAACAGCAGAAACAGGAAGAAAACCGACAATATCGCGAAAACAACTCAGAAAAAATTGCAGAGTATAAAAAACAAAAAATTAACTGTGAATGTGGAATACTATGCTCAAAAGGACATATAGCAGCACATAGAAAAAGCAAACGACATCAACAACACCTAAATTCATTAGAACAGATTGATACTACATAAGATAGTATTGTTAATTAGTTTGAAAATTTTTCATAATCTTTTTTATGAAAAATTTGAATATAAAAAAATGTAATCTTTAAAATACATAATCTTGAAAAAAGTATTTAAAGAATTATTCTCTATATAATATATAGATTAATGCCTACCGCGCCTGAGGATATGACAATGGAAGAGATAAAAGAACAACTGGCAATTTATGGAAGACTGTATTATCGCAAAAAGAAAGAAGACGAAACGTTTATGATGAAAAAGAGAGAGAACACACGAAACCATTTAAGACGAAAAAAACTTAACAAAATTTTAGAAGAACAAGAGCAATCAATAGCAATAAATGAGGATGAGATAAATGAAGAATTAACTGTAAAATTTGAAAAGAAAGGAAGACAAGTAATACCAATGGAAAATGCAAATGTTTTAAAAGACACAGATGTATTTAAACGAACAAAACAAATCAAAGAACCCAAGGAACCCAAAGCACCAAAAGAACCAAAACCAAAGAAAGCAAGTAAAAAGAAAACAGCAGAACAACAAGAAGAGTCAAAAGGAGATTAAATTTGTTTTAATAATAATATTTTTATTAAAATAAATAATATGTTTGAATAATTTTTAATAAAAAATTGCATAATTTTTTAATATTATTTTTGAATAATTTTTAATAATATTTTTGAATAATTTTTATGTTTTGGGATGCTCATCCCCGATGTTTGGGGATGCTCATCCCCGATGTTTGGGGATGCTCATCCCCGATGTTTGGGGATGGGACATTTTTAAATTGAAATATGAGGCATCCCCGATGTTTGGGGATGGGTGCCCCCGATGTTTGGGGATGGGTGTCCCGAGACATTAATTATTTTATAAAAACATTTCTTTGGAAAACTATTTAAAGAAATATTTTTTATATATGTTAGATATGGTGCAGGTGTGTAGGTGTGAAAGATGCCTTGACCAAATTATGACAATCAAACTTTTAGGTAAAAAAAAATTGCGCAATGACCTTTTCAAAACCATAGCTTCTTATAGTCAGTATCTGATATACAGCGATAGAGAGAAGACGATAAGGTTTAAAACCATACTTGACAAAATACCAGTTTTACCTTGCGAAGTTTTAGTAGCGAAACGGGTGGTGGAGGACAAGTCTTTAAAAAAACACATTAACAGTGATTCATTTTTTTATTTACGAATGGCGTTGTTAAGGATGAAATATTTAGACATCACCGACATTGAAGACATTAACGACATTTCATCTTTTAGAAGAGACCCAGGTTTCACAGGTGTATTTAATGATATATATGAAACTATGAGGACGAGATATAAAAAACCATTTACGATAGAAATAGAAGAGTTGGCGATTATGTTTTTTAGTGATTACTTTAAACGATGCCTTAATGAAAAAGAGGAGGTTGAGTTTATGATAAAAATGTTAAATCGCATCTTTTCATAAAAAATGTGTTGTTGAAAATATTTTGTTTAAAAAATCTTTAAAAAATTTCTTTGGAAAAACTATTTAAAGAAATATTTTCTTAACATTATATATGGTGTGTGAAAGGTGTAAGGACTTAAAAACAACAACCGCCCTTTTATGTAAAACCGCTTTGCCATATGATTTAAACGGCCATATAAATCAATATATTAGGTGTAGGGGGTGCGACGAAAAAATTAAGATGAAATTATTTAGAGAATATTATAATTTAGAACACTGGGGCATTTATCATTGTCATAGGAAGTTGCAAAACATAAAAGCAGAAATAAATGATAAAAGTATAAACGCATACATAAATAAACATTCAATGGGTTATATTAGATATGTCGGACATTGTTTAAGTTATGGACATAAACCATCAGACATATGTTTAAAAGCAGAAGCAGAAAGAGAAATGATAAAAACAATACAAAAAAAGAAAAACAGAACATTTGGAGACGATGAAATAGATTTAACATCGGTGTCATATGAATTCTTTTGCAACATTTTTCTTAAAAAGTTTGATGATGAAAAAGCCCGGTTTATGATTAACATACTTTTTGAAATATTATTTTTATAAATATATTATCATCCTTTTTATTATGAGCGAAAACAATAAAAAGAATGATATAATAAACACAATTTATTTTGATAGGTCAGGCTTTGGAAGCAAAAAACAAACCTTAAAAGATGCAAGAGAAAAAGATAAATCTATAACAATGGCCGACATTGATAGTTTTTTTAAAGAAAATGTGGAACAAAAGAAACAGATTAGAGGTAAAAATACATTTATTGCCCCTGAACCTTTTTATGAATTTCAAATGGATTTGTTTTTTATAAACGATTTGGAGAATCAAAAATTTAGAGTCGGTGTGATTATGATTGATGTGTTTAGTCGGTTTATGCAGGTCGCACCAATTAAAAGTAAAGACGAAGCAAACATAGCATCAGGAATGATAGAGACAATGAACAAGATGGGAGGCAAACCCAAAATATTATTTACAGACGACGAAGGCGCATTAAACACAACATCAATACAGGATTATTTAAAGGAGCAGGGCATACAACACCACAGGACAAGAGCACACGCAAACCACAGCGAACGAGCAATTAGAACATTTAAAGATATGCTTTACAAACGAGTAGAGGCAGACGAAAAGAAAGGCAAAGAAAATATTCAATGGACTGATTACATTTTTGAAATTTTGCTCACCTATAATAATAAAATGGAACATTCGGCTATTAAAATGACACCGAAAGAGGCAATGAAGGAGAAAAACGAACTGAAAGCAACACAGAATATGACCCAACAAGCAACCAGAACGAGAAAATACCCTAATATTTCAACCGGTAATAAAGTTAAAATTTATAGGAAAAGGAAACCTGGGGAAAAAGAACGCACGAGTGTTTGGCAAACTGAAACAAAAGAGGTTGAACGAATAGAACAAAAAAATAATTCAAGTTTGTTTTATGTAAAAGGAGACAGTCGCCCATATATACGCTTCGAATTGTTAAAGGTTTGAAAAAATATTAAAAAATTTTCTTTGGAAAACCACTTAAAGAAAAAACATTTAATATAATTATATATCTAAGGTATAGTATGAGCAAGTTTATCAGGAGTAATCTCATCCAACTCAACCACTTAAAGGACAAGGTGGCCGAAGGAGCAAACAAAACTACACAAAAAAGAATTAACGAAATCATCAAGTTATATCAGGAGCGTAAAATCGGAAACATAGCAACCGCCGAGAATTTAATAAAAGGCTTAACCTCTAAGAACAAAAAAACCTATGAAAAAGCATTCAAGCAATACAAGGACACCATACCCAAAACTAAGAAGGCAAAACCATTAAACGAAAGACTGGCGGAAACCAAAAGCCAAAGCACATACTTAATAAACTTCCAACTCTACACCACAAGGAAGCCACGAAACGAAAAGGTGAAACCCGCTTTTAAAAAATTCGAAACGGCATTTTACATAGAAAACTTTGACATAAGACAGGCAACTGTCAAAGCAAAAAACTTTGATAAGGGACTGGTTAAAAATCTTATTTTCAGATTTGAAACCAAAGAGGACTTCATAAGCAAAAGAAAGGAAAACGCCAATGAAGAATTTGAAAAGGTAATAGAACTGCTTAACAAGGACAAGGACTTTAAGGAAATGGTGGATGACTTAACGAAGTACTATGACAACCTATTCGACGCAATTAAAATACAACAGGTGGAGGTAGTCAATAAGAAAGGCGAGAAGTTTAACATTATGGACGAGAGTTTAACCGACATTAGCCACATATCTATATACCATCGCTATGTCAGCACCCCTGTTAATCATAACTTATACAACCTAAGGGAAGCCATAAGCAACAACGAACACGTCGATAATCAATGTTGGATTAATGCTTTAAGCGATTTTTATAAAGACAGCCTTATGAACGATAAAAGAAGGGACAGACTAACAAGGGAAAGGATTATAGAAATCATAGGTAGGAACGATTTTTACAGCAATGGGGCAACCATTAATGAAATGGATAAAGTCTTTAAACATTACAGGATTCCCGCCCGAATTTTTGACTGCTGTGAAAACCTTATATACCGGCACGAACCCGAAGAGGCAAACAAAAAACTCAAATGTTTTTATGCCTTTGTGAAAAACAGCCACATATACACAATGAACAACGACCTAAAAAGCATACAGCAGAAACTGGGCAATGTAGGCAAAAAACCCATAGTGAAAGCAACGACCGATTATCACATAAACGAAAAGGAAGAACCGCCACAATTTATAATGATTAGGGACGCTTACGAAATATTAAAACTGGTCAGTAAGGGTAAAGAACCTATAACGAAATACTTAGTGCCCGAGGACAACAACCTAACCAAAATATTATTTCAAATACTGGGCGGTGGATATGAACCTAAAATTCGGTTTCAAGCGGGTATAGTGTCAGAGATACGAATGAAATTAAAGAAAACCACCTTCATAGTCAAAACCCAGAATTTAATAAAAACCTCGTCGGACGGATGTATGAGAATAGACAACGAAGAAACCTATAACAATATGAATAAAGCAATGTTTGATTTTAATAAGTCTTTATTTAATCCGCTTCATAAATCGTTTTATAACCAAGCTGACATAGATTTATACGAAGAGGCTAAAACCATAGTGCCTGTGGGTATGTTTGTATCACATAAGTTTTCGGATACGATGCCGAAAGTGGAACTGGATATGTCCAAAGCATTTACTAAATCGTTTATAGATATTGTGGAGACATTCGGCTTTAATCAGTTCGATGTGTGGCAACCATATACCGAACAAATGGATTTTAACAAAATGCACGATTATACACTGTATTATGTTAAGAACACGGGCGAGAAAAACAAAGTAATGTTAAACAAAAAGTTTGGTCTTTTATACGGTTTGTATCTAAAACAGTTGGACACATCAGAAATTAAGATCATAAGTTATAAACAGCCTTCGTTCAAGCACTCTGTTATCTATAAAAACATAGTCGGGGAATTATGGGACAAAAAAATAAGTGAAAACGACGAGGAGGATATGGCAATTAAAAAACAGGTGGCAGTGGTGAATTTCGGACTTTTAGAAAGAACCAACAGCACCAACCAAAAAAGCATACTGTTTAGAAACTTAAAGGAGGCGTCGGATTTTCAACAAAAATACGGGGGCAAAATACACAAACTGACCGAAGAAGAAGTTATCTTTTATGAAATGGACGATGACGAATGCACTGAATGGAATGAAATATCGGAAGGAGATTCATACTACATAGTGAATATATCCGATAAAACGAAGTTGGTAAATGGGTTTGTTTATATAAAGGAACTGCTATTGCAACAACATAACTTTAATATGTATCAGTGTTATAACAGATTACTTCAATGCGGTGTTAAACCGTATAGTGTCAAGACCGATGCATTTGTTATAAACACCGAAGACCTACCCAAAGCGAAAGAAGCACTGGGAATTAAAGCGGGGGCATCTACAAAGTGCATAGGTCAGTGGAGGGTTAATAAAAGCAACGAGGATATAATAATGCCCAAGGAGGACTACCACATAAAAGAAAACGAAGCAACTAAAATACCAATGTATATAAACAAAAAGATAGACATACAGGACGAATACGACACAACGAAGATCATAGAGAAGATATTTTCAGTAAAGCACGTGATGATTAGGGCGAAATATGCCGGTTCTGGTAAAAGCTTTATATGTGAAAAAATCAGGGACTTAGGTTTAAAAGTGCTGTTCGTGTGCCCCACTAATAAACTGGTTCAAAAATATGGAAAGGACGCCACGACTATTAATAAATTCTTTTCCATAGCCGTGGGCGACGAAAAATTAGAAAAGTTTGACTACTCGAATTATGACTGTATAGTGTTCGACGAGATTTATTTTAATGGCCTGAGGGCTTTAAATAAAATTGGGGAGTTCGTGGAAGCGCATAAGGATTTAATGGTGGTGGCAACCGGCGACGGTAAGCAATTAAAACCCGTTTCGGAAATAACTAACCTACACGATCACGAAGTATATGCAAACCACTGCATAAACAAAATATTTAAATATCATATCTATCTGCGGGAGTGTAAGCGGTTAAAGACTCAGGAGGACAAAGATAAATTAGCAAACATATACGACGACATATTCATAAACAAAGTTAAGACGAAACAGTTGATAGAAAAATACTTCGAATACACCGACGACATACAAACAAACAATAACAACATAGCATACTTAAACGATACGTGCAAGGAGGTAAGCAACGAAATAAGGAGGCGCCAAAACCGCAAAAACGAATATGATATAGGCGAGGTGGTTATATGCAGGGAGTATTTAAAAACAACCACATATAAATGTCAAGTTAATTTTCGATACATTATTTCTGAGATCAACGGCGATAAGGTGAAACTAAAAGAGGAGCACGAAGGAAATATACAAACCATACCCATTGATGTTTTAAGGAAGCACTTTATATTTAGTTATTGTTATACCTGTCATAGTGTGCAGGGTTCGAGCATAAACACTGGTATAACCATCTTTGATTATCATCATTTTAATGTTTCTAAGGAGTGGCTCTGGACGGCAATCACGAGAGCCACCGATTTAAATCAGGTCAGGTTTTACAGGTATGATGATAATAAAGATACTGCATTTAATAAACAGTGTATCTTTAACTATTTAGAACGCAAGGTGCAGAACTACAAGGAACAGGACAGGGCAGGTAAAAGAAAGATAGACCACAAGAACTACATAACTGCCCAGTGGCTTTTGGATAGGTTAAACGACTTTTGTGAAAAATGTAGTGTAGAATTTTACGTTAAGTTAAAAAGCGGAAACATAACAACAAATCTAACAGCCCAACGAAAATCAAACGAGCAAACACACACCATAAGCAACTGCATAGCATACTGTAAGAAGTGCAACTGCGCGGCAAGTGATAAAGAACAATTTTAAGAATAAAAATTTTAAAAATAATATTTAGTATTTTATATGGCCGAAGGTTTCGAGGACACACTTAACGACATCAACAACACATTAGAAAATATGGATAAGAAAATAGAAGAGATACACAACAAACTATTTACACCAGTTCCAAGCACCACAACAACAAAATCAAAAGACACAACATATCAAAACAAAAGAAAAGCCTATTTGACAAAACTAAACAACGGAGATATTACAAACCCAAAACCAACGACGATGGAATACTACGAAATCAAGAAGGAGGGCGACGTCTATGTGTAAAAAAAGTTTTAAAAGTTTTGAAAAATATATAGTTTATAATATATGACCGTTTATGACGAACTGTTTGAGATACAATACAGAGTAGCCAAACACGAACTAGAAAAATTAGAAATCATCAAAGAAAGCAGGGAAAGCAAAATTGTAGAAATAAAGCAAAAATGCGTAATAGAAAAGGAAGAACAGGAACATTTAGATAAAGAAATGAAATATTTAGATACACAGATTTCATTACAGAAGGAAATAATCAAACTGTATGAGGTTAATTACAAATATTACCAATGAAAATTCTATTCAACGAGAATGTGGTAAATTCTGTGGCAGAATTTAGTAAATTCAGTGGAAAATGAAATATTTAGATACACAGATTTCATTACAGAAGGAAATAATCAAACTGTATGAGGTTAATTACAAATATTACCAATGAAAATTCTATTCAACGACAAAGAACATTGAGCAGAATTTTCAATTCAAAAATCGTGAATTTCGGGTTTGTGAGTTAGGGGATGGATTCGAAAATTGATTTGAAGATAATTTTTTATAAATTTTTGATGTTTTGTTGGTGAAATCGCGTGAGGTGGAGATGTCAAAATTGATGATTTTTTGTGGTAAAGTGTAAAAACGTAGGGTGGGTATCAGGGATTTTTCGGTGGAGGCGTGCGGGCGAAAGCTTTGAAAAATCGGGTGCCTAGCCCTAACTAAGCAATGCCTGCGTGCTGCTTTGCAAACGCCCAGAGGTCTCCTACCCGCTGGGAGCAAGCTTTTGCGTTCCGAGAATAGGGGAGGTGGTAAGTGGTTCTGTGTCTTTGGTGTGTTTTGGGATCCCTTGTCCTTTGTAGAAGAGGCGAGGAGGCTTTGGCACCCTTTCGACTCGCTGGCCCACCTGCCAGACTACTTGATCACCGCCCTTCATGAGCAGCTTTCCTTGTCGCCAATGGACTTGACTAAGTTGAGGCTGACACGTTTGAAGCATTGGCAGGATCTGGCAAAGTCGCTGCGTCAAAAGGATGCGACTATGAAAGAGCAGCTGCATCCGGACGTGCAAGGCATACTGAAAGGGAAACATCTGGCCTTGTTGGCGCATCTTGTTGACGAGATCCAATGGCCGGACGCGCATTTGTTGCATGAGCTGTGCCAGGGTTTCCGACTCGTAGGCCCTGCCAATAAGTCGGGTGTGTTCAGGGCTGGCTTGGTAGTTGCTTCGCAGGATGAGTGCCAACTCATGCGCAGGGCGCCAGAGATTAGGGAAGGCATTCTGAAGCGGCTGGAGTCAGAACCAATGGCTGAGTACGCTCAAGAGCTGTGCGACATCACTCGTGAGGAGGCCGACGATAAAGGGTGGCTGGAGGGCCCCTTCTCCCCTGATGAAGTCAGTGATCGCCTAGGAGAATGGCTCCCTGTGCGGAGGTTTGCTGTGCGCCAGGGGGCGAAACTGCGCCCCATCGACGACCTGCGTGAGAATGAGGTCAACTCCTGCTTCTCGAGTGTTGAGAAGGTCACCTTGTCTGCCATGGACCATGTGCTGTGGTCGGCTAACATCTTGGTTGCATACTTCCGGGATAGGGGTGCCTACCGCTTTACTTTGTCCACAGGCCAGGTGCTGTCAGGTAAGGTTCATCACGCTTGGTCTGACGCCGGGGCCGAGTTGCGCATGTCGTCTCTTGACCTAAAATCAGCGTATAAGCAACTCCCCTTGTCTCCGCTCGATCACAACAAGTCCGTCGTTTGCCTCCGGAACCCTCGGAGTATGGCTTTGGAGTGCTACATCATGAAGACGCTCCCCTTTGGGGGAGCGGCCAGCGTCCCGTCCTTCTTGCGATGCAGTTCCCTTATCCACGCCTTGGGGTGCCGATTGGGGCTTTGCTGGTCGAACTACTTCGACGACTTCCCGGTGATATCGCACTCCCTGTGCGCGTCATCGACCATGGCCTGCATGGTGGGTTTTCTAAAGTTGTTGGGGTTCGATCACGCTAAGGAAAAACTACTCCCCTTTGATGTGAAGGCGGAAGTTCTCGGCGTCCAGGTAGACTTGACTGGGGCTCCTAAAGGGGTAATCCAGGTTAAGAATAAGGATAGCCGGGTTGCTGAGTTGTTGCCAGTGCTTGAGGCGGCGTGCCGCGACAAGAAAGTCATCCCGGCCCACCTGCCATCTTTCGTCGGCAAACTCCAGTATGCCGATGCTCAGATTTGGGGGAGGGCGGGGCGTTTGGCGTTGCATGATGTTAGAGCTTTGGCGCACACTTCCAAAGTACCTGTGAGCCTGGACCCCAGTGGTCTAGCGGCTTTGAACCTTCTGAAGGAACGTTTCATGCGGGGTAGGCCTCGCACTTTACTTGCCTCCCGAGGGGAACTTCCGTTCCTCATGTTCACTGATGGCGCTCTTGAAGAGGGGCAAGCCAAGCTTGGTCTCCCGCCTGCCACCATAGGAGGCTTGCTCTTGTGGCCCGGGCGTAGTCAGCGGGCTGAGTATTTTGGATGTGCTGTTCCTGAGACAGTGCTGGAAATGTGGCGCGCGGATGGGAAGTCACATGTCATCGGCCTAGTGGAGCTCTATGCCGTAGTGGTGGGCATCCGCACCTGGAAGTCGTACTTCGAGGGAAGGAGGTTGCTAACGTTCGTCGACAACTATGCTGCGCTCGATGTTGCTATCAAAGGATCCGCGTCTGTCAAGCAGTGGCGCGATTTGCTGTTGCTACTTGAGTGCCCCGATGAAACGTCCCCCACGCTCATGTGGCATGCAAGGGTACCTTCGAAGTCGAACCCGTCGGATGGGCCCAGCCGGGGTGACACGTCCCTGATGGAATCCTTCAACGCCAAGCGTGTCACGCCTGTATGCCCCGTGACACAGGTGCAGCTGCGGAACTTGTAACCAGCTAGATGTGTGCTGAAGCAGACCGGGGAACTTGACCAAATGTGGTCGGCGGGATGTGCCCGCGTTGTGCAATGTGCACGTAGTGTTCAACTTGATATGCATCCCCAGTTTGCCAAGAGAGGAAAAGAGCGCCGCTGATTGTGAGACCTATATTGTCTAGTGGAATGAATCGTGCATGTATAATTGCAATTGATGCTTTCAAGAATTTTGGGGATATTTGATAAGCATATCTGAGCGCGTGCGCTCCGTTGGTTTATCAAGCCCCCAAAACAGCTTTAAAATTTTTAAAGCGTTCTTGGAAGCCTTTTTCACGGTCGTGATAATGTGGTCCTTAAATTTTGAAAAGACTGCAGTGATTTCATGTTCCTAAATTATGTTGACACGGAATGTTCCGAAACCGGAGCCCTGTGAATAGCATGTTTCCGACATGTTGCATTCGTGCTTTATTTTCCATGGAAGCACATGAGCAAGTTTTTTATTGTATTGCTTGTTGTGAATTTTCACTGACTTGTCTGATGAGTGACATGGTTCAAGTCGGGCTCCTGCAGAGCTCAGAGTGAAAATTTTTCCCACCCACCCAACCCCAGGGGGGAACTTGACAAATGTGGTCGGCGGGATGTGCCCGCGTTGTGCAATGTGCACGTAGTGTTCAACTTGATATGCATCCCCAGTTTGCCAAGAGAGGAAAAGAGCGCCGCTGATTGTGAGACCTATATTGTCTAGTGGAATGAATCGTGCATGTATAATTGCAATTGATGCTTTCAAGAATTTTGGGGATATTTGATAAGTTCCCAAACGCAGCAAGGACGCCGAGTTTCCAGCCATACTGTGGCTGGGCAACAGCCCGGGCAGCCAGCTTGTGGCGGCAGCCCACACCGAGTTTCAGCAGCCCAGGCCAGCAGCCTGCGGCGGAATGTGGTTCATCGTGACGTTGTCATTGTGCTACCCTTGTGTTGGGCGACACGTTGGCCTGGCGTACGAGACGTCGCCGCGACACAGATTTGAGGCACTCGTCTTCGCGGATGACATTGTCCAATCCTAATCGTGTTCAATGTTGCACCGGCCCTTCACCGGCGAAGTTGTGCTTGATCTGGGCAACGGAGTGCCGTTAGGCACTCGGACTCGTCGGTGTACACAGCCCGGGTCGTGACGTCCAGAGAAGTACGTAGAGCCATGGTCGCCTAGACCGTCTTAAGTAGCACGTTGCAACCGCATGACGCTGTCATCGCTAGTAGCAAATTCGGGTTGCAAGGTTGGCATGTTGGCACCCCGGATCGATAGACCAATGTGAGATGCGCGGATGACGTCATTTGGTATGCGAAAACGACTGATGAGCTTGTGCTACTGATGCTCATCGGAAAGAGCTCAACAACATTGGGCTGCACCTCGATCCTTCAGAAGACCAAGCCATGTCGGGCAACATGGTGGAGGTTCTCATGCAACAGAGACGCGCGCCAATACTTGGGGAGGCATTTGAATGGCAATTTGACGCAGCGACGTGTTATTGAGCGGCGTCACCGGATGCATGTGGTGCACAAATTTCAGTTACACCGTAAAGTGCCTTCGAACACGCAAGTATCCATCAAGTTCTTGCTGAAGCTTCTTGATGCCGCCGTGACGCTTAACATCTCGTCGAGGCCATGGAGTTTTTGGCCGAAGCTGCGACGCACCTGGCCTACGCCCGTGCCCGCGTCCCGGGCTCTGGCGATGGCGCGTCTCGCCCTGCGCAATCTGGACGGCGGGGTGCGCGGCATTGACGGGCGACTTGTTTTTCCGCCTTGTCTCGCACATGCTGGCGAAGGAGTGGGCTACGACATTCGATTTGGCCACGTTCCCGTACCCGTTTCGTGCTCCAGGTGTGGGCCGGGACGGATGCGGCTGCGCACGTGCGCGCAGCACTTGCCACGCTGCTGGATGCAGTTCTCGTGTCTCCGGCTGGCTGCAGCGTACAAACAACAGCATGTCCTGGACAGCCGGACAGCTTGCTTGACGAAGCTGCGGCCGTGCCGGAACTCGTCCCCTTCGTCATGCGGGTGGGCGCTGCTGAGATTTGCAGCGAGGCGGGGGTTGTGAACACTCCGCCAACATGATCAACATGCTACATGCAGCCACGCGGCGTTTGCGTTGCCCCCAGGAAACGGCATTGTTCCGTTCCTTGACGATTTGTAGGTCCACACGCGCAAGGCCTTGGACGCGAGATGACGCGACGGTCGGTGCTTTGTCGGACTCCAGCTGGGGCAAGACCAGCGTGATCGCCGGCGATGGGCCCGCCGCTCCCAAGCACAGCGGAACTCGGCGGGGATGTTTGGAGACCGCCGTCTGACCGAGGGGTGGTCGTTCCTGGGCCGCTGTAGGCCATCCCGATTTCATTAGGGCATGGAGCGAGGACGCTTGCCGGCAGTCCACGAGTGTACCGTCAGGGCCGTAGCGGCAAGCGGCTCTCGCCGGCGCGACCAGCTAGGTGGAGCAAGGTGTCGAGTGGCGGGCCGTCGCTGGATTCTGACGGCAGCGGGTGCATGCGTCCTACATTCGTTCACTCATTTCGTCCTGATACTTGCATTGCTTCACTCACTTCCATAGTATTACATGCGAGATGAGGCACTGATAATTTCATGTAGTTCGTACGCTTCGATCGCGCAGCTGCATGGCCTCCGGGGCCGTAGCCGGCATCAGCACACTCTCGCGATAGCGCTGGTTTGTTTCCGCGACGCGTGGAATTGCCAGCTATGTGGCCAATTTCCTCCTCCCGCGACCAGCGCCGTCCAAGTCGGGCAATCATTCCAACTTTGGTCCGGACGGAGTTGCCGCACCGACGCCGCTTCTTTGAGGCATGGGGCCTGAGCACCAAATGTGTAGTAGTAAAATGTCATCGATTGCAACCGTAGTTGGAGTACGTTTCGTTGGACAGTTTGGCAGTCAGAAAAGAGGCGCGCAAAAAAAAATCGAAGGACCGCCTATATTTTGTCACGCCCAAAATGATCCGCTATATGGGCGTGCCATTAACTATTTTATGGTGTGCGAAGTGAATGCGTCCGTTCACGCACAAGCACACGCACACGCACGCGCACACGCACGCGCACACGCACGCGCACACGCCCACGCACGCGCACACGGCCACGCCCACGACCACACCCACGCCCTCGCCCTCGCCCACGCCCACGCGCACGCACACGCACATGCACATGCAGACGCGCGTGCACACGCATACGCACGCGCACACGCACATGCACGCGCACATGCATGCACATGCACGCACATGCACGCACATGCATCCACATGCACGCACATGCACGCACACGCACGCACATGCACGCACATGCATGCACATGCACGCACATGCTCGCACATGCTCGCACATGCACGCACGTGCACGCACATGCGCGCACATGCACGCACATGCACGCACATGCACGCACATGCACGCACATGCACACACATGCACACACGCACACCAACACGCACACGCACACGCGCCAACGCGCCCATGCGCCCACACGCCCACGCGCACGCACACGCGCACGCACACGCACACGCACATTTTGCCTGAAATATATCGTTACCGCAGGTGTTTTTCCCATATTTTTGTGTGGTGTTTTTCCTTTGGGGCTCTCACGCCTTCTCCTCCGCCTCCTCCTCCTTCTCCTGGGGCTCTCACGCCTTCTTCCTCCTCCTCCTCCACCTCCTCCTCCTCCTCCTTCCTCTCACTGACTCAGTCAGTCACGCACTCAGTCCCACGCACAGATACACACACACACAGCACACGTTCACTCATCTGCCGCTTGCACAGGCTCACGCACACACACCGCACGGGCTCGAATCGCTTCCAGCATGTTCGAGCGTGGTGTGCTGCCATGCAGGCCAGATGTTCACACGAGCACACCTTTGCATACAACATTCAGCGCGAAAACAGGCGTGCTCAAAAAGTAACATTGTCGCGAATCCTCGAACGATCGTGTGTCGCGATCAAAACCTAAAAGTGAGACAACGTACATGATCAAAGCAAACAGCACGGACCACGAAAATTTGTCGAAGCTTGACATCGAATGGAACAGGTTCGGTGCACCGTGGTTTTGGAATTCGTGGGCCTTGGCTTGCAGTCGGCCGCACGGATGGCTGCTGGGCGGATGCGCTCCCCGTCATTCACGTGCGACTTCCGGAGTGGCCGCTACCTCCGAAAGCTGGGACGAGGAGAAGATGCTAAAAAAAAAACTGCTGCCCCGTGTGTGTTCGCCTGCAGTTTCGCAGTCGCATGCAGTCGCGTGTTGTTGCCGGCTTTCAGCCATTCAACGCGAGCGAAGCATAACCGTGACTCCACAGGCCATGACCCCGGCATTGAGCTGTCGCCTGCGGCTACCTCTGGTCACCGGTGCGGCCCAAACCTGGGGTGTGGCCAAGCGGTCGACGTACTGGGGGACCATGCGCTGGCCTGTCCCCGGACCGGGCTGCAGGCCAGACGGGCAAAAGTGGTCGAACGGGCGTGGCTCCGCATGGCCAGGGACGCCGAGGGCCAAGTCGTTCCGCAACAATGGCTCGCACACACGACGGCCCCAGGAAAGCTTCCAGAAGACCGGACACGCGTAGACATGGTCGTTTACGGAGCCACAGCCACTGGGGCAGCGCGCTGCTGTGACGCACGTGCAGGCACGCCGCTTCCTACGCGATCTCGTCCGCCTTCGCGCGCAGCGCGTGCCGCCTGCTGTTCGCGCCGCAGCGAGGAGGCTGGACCAGGCGATGGCAAGGCATCATCTCTGCGGGCACGGCCCTAGGTCGCGCTTGGCCAGCCCTGCCGCAAGCGCGGCCGGGAACCGGGCCCAGCCTGGACAGGGTGCTGGACCCGGGGCGGCCGTGGGAGCTTGTAGGCCGTAGCGGTCCGGACAGCACTGGCAGCGAGAAAAAAAATTGAACCAAATGTTATGCGCAGTTCCGCATTCTGCTCCTGCGGCGCCTGCGCCTGCCCCTGCCACTCGCCCCCCGCACGTGCAGCTGTCGTGGCAGGCTCGACGCTTTCGGGGACCACCGTGCCGCGTGCGCTACCAGCGGCGTGCTCGCTGCGCGCGCAGGGCCACTTGAGCGCACCGTTGCGCGGGTTTGCCGCGAAGCCGGTGCGCGTGTCGCTCGCAACATCCGCGTCGCCGACATGATCATCGACGTGCCCGTTGCAGACGACAGGCGCATCGAAGTCGTTGCCAACGGCTTGTCCTTTTGGCACGGCTCGCAGCTCGCGGTTGACGCCACGCTCGTCTCCCCGCTCACACGTACGGGCGAGCCCCACCCGCGGGCTGATGTCGAGCCGGGGCGCTCTGTCACCGCAGCAGCGCGGCGCAAGCGACACGGCACGTACCCCGAGCTCCTCCGTGCTCGGCGGTGTCGCCTGGTCGTCATTGGCCTGGAAGTGGGTGGGCGCTTTGGCGCCGAAGCAGCCACCTTCCTGCGCCTGCCCGCCACTGAGCCGCCACCATCCCAGCGCGGGCGAGAGCAACGGCGATGATGCCGTGCCTGAGCTGCACGAGGTCCTGGCCGATGGCCGCTGGGATCGCCCCCCGCCCGCCAGCCGCGTGCCGCCGCGGCGGTGAGGCCCCTCCCTCCCCCCGCCCCCGCGAAGACACGCTGCGGAAAAAGGCGCGAGGAAAAAAAAAAAAGGTTCGTAAGCACTATTGGCATTTGGTCCGCGCGCATGGCGCTGACGGCATCATCGATGGGCAGCATCCAACACCTCAGCGACGCTATCTGAGCTCTCCCAAAAACCGGTGTTCCCTTTGCCATTTCTTGTTTCAGACCGCACAGGACAAAGCTCGCCGCCGAACAGCTGCGCTGCCCTGGGCATCGCTCGCAAGGCCGAAGAGCGGACATACCCCTTCAGGTGCGGAGAGGCAAGCGGCTCGAGACTGGTGGGGGGTGGGCTGCTTCGGAGGAGGCAGCGCCTGGGAGGTCACTGCAAGGGTTCCCCATCAACGCCGTGTTGGCGACGGGCAGCGAGACAAGACTCGCGGCAAGTGCTCGTGCGGTTGCAAAGAACAGGAGCGGGCGACGTCGGCGGCCCTGGCCCTATCGCAGCAGGGGAGGGGCTGTGCGGGAGCGGCTACGAGCGAGGAGTGGGATGAACTGGGCGGCCTCCTCGCTCCTCCGTCTTCCCGCCCCTCCCGAGCCGTAGGGTGCACAGGGACCGCAGGTCCTCATGCAGCAGCAAAACGGAGCGGGGGAAAAAAAAAACAAAACACACATGGAAAATCCCGCAGAAGGCCGTTGGCACCGGTGCCACGGATAGTCTTTCTTGTTCTGGATTGGCATTGCGACAAGCACAGATTACAACATTCCCCCATGCAGGCTGGTTGTTTGGGGGAATGACTTGGCTGGTGGCTGTTGTTCGGTCAAGATGCCGCATGATCACGGCAGACACGGGCTCAAGTCAAGGCGCATGATTTCGGCACAACGTACAACCAGCACAGAGTGCACAACCAGCACAGAGCACATCTGCAAGCCCAACCTACGCTTCATGAAGTGTATCGTGCAAAAATTGCAGTGTTGGATTTCACCACGTTTCCTGCAAGTCCAAATGTGTGTTTCGGCTCCACCGCTTGAACGCAGCGTGTTCGACCTCAGCAATGTCGCGGTGCTTTAGGATCCATAGTTGTCATGGACGTTGTTTTTTTTTGTGCGTCCACCAAGGTCCCCAGCTTGGACGATGCAACCGCGTGGTTTCCCAAGTTCAACTGTTCGGTGAGCAAACAAAATTGCACAAGGAGTTATCAGTGTGTGTCACGGCGCATCGGGGCCGAGGAGAGCGAAGCAGGTCACGTAGTCCCGTTGCTGCCGAAGGCATTGCGACAGACATGGTGTTATGGGAATTGGGGCAAGCGTCACATTAATCGCGTCAGGAAACAACGGAATTGCCACAGCGCTTCGGCATGCACTTTGTTTGAACGGCAAGATGCGTGAGGTTCCCGAAAAGCATACAACATTTCTTGGAGTTGATCGTGTGAGGTGCCCGCAAGTGGAGCGGGAGCAACCGAGACAAGTGCGGTCAGCAGCGATTTCTGCAATGCGGGAAGCGCGCAATTTGCACAAACTTGCCCGGCCGTGTGCCCTGGTCAAACGGGCTGTCAGCCCAGCAATGGCTGCATGGGAGGGTGCATGCCTTGCTGTCCCGGCTGTGGCTGCGGCGGGTGTTGTGGCGGCTGCCCTGGATGCGCCTGTCTCGGTTGTGGCTGCCCGGGCATGTGAGAATCTCAGTTAGGGAATCTACGTGAAAGCAGTGCGCATTTTGCTGCATTGTGTCTGGGTGTTTCGTAAAGAAAAAGGTCGACCATGAATCCAATGGCCGCATTTATGCAGCAGCAGCAACAGATGGCGTCAGCCTCAGAAGGTTCTCCGCGGATCGTGCGTGTTTTTTTGGTTGTTGCCTTTGCTTGCTTCCCTGCAATGTTCGACGCATGCTACTTTTGGCATAGACCAAGGCAATGATGATGTCGCCAATGGCCAGCATGATGCAGATGAACCCACTGGCCAGCATGATGCAGATGAATCCCTTAGCCACGTCCTTGGAATGGATGGGTAGCATACTGAGCAAAGTAAGGGCGTGTTATGGAACATGTGGCACAGAAGAATGCAGCAGTGATGCGGTGGATTGTGTTCGGATTCACGCAGGCGGAAAAGTCCGGAAGAAAAAAGCAAATCTACGCACGAGATGGTTGTGCACCCCAGGGTAGAACGTAGAAAGAAAAGTACTTGTGCAGCTGAGGCTGTGGGAATGATGCCCGCAACTGGACAAATGGTGGGCTCCGTGGATCCGGCGGTTTGTCGGCTGGCATTAGCTTCTTGAGCTCAGCCGTTGACAACCCGAGTCTGCGAAAGAGAGAGCCCGACACAGTCTGGATCAGCGCACCATTGCGAAACAAAGTGTCACCCATTGTCAGCAAAAGTTCCTGGTCAAGTCTCGGTTTTGCTTTGACAAATTCCTTTTTTTCCCGGAAGCGCAATCGAGTCATTTGTATTCAGCAGCTCGGACTGGTCATTCTTCAAAGTTCGCAATAATGCGTGTTCGCTGTACCCTTGAAGGGCTGGACGTCGACATCCCTGGCATGCCATAGCTAAAAACTCGTGATCGCAACATTGAAGTTGCTGAAGGAGTGCCGGCGAGAGTTATGAGCCAAGGCGCTGGCTGGACAAAAGGAGGAACCGCCGGAGGAAGAGGAGGAAGAAGATCCATACCCGTCACCTGTACCATTCATCGTTTTTTTTTTTTGGTTTTGCGTGCGGGCGAATTCAAGTGGCAAGCTGCAACTGATGAGGGCTCAGCGTCATGTATTCCTGGGTGTTGATTAGGGCAGTTCCAGCTTCATGGGCTTGTTGGTTTGATGGCGGGCCGATGGGAGCATAATTAGCTTCAGGATGCTTGAGGTATTTGAGGTTTTCTCAGTTGTGAACTGATCTTTGTGGTCAGTGACATTTTTGGGCACCTTGTTTAGACCATTGTATTGTGAGTTTTGAGGCTTTCTCTTCGTTTTTGGTCGGAGTTCGAAGGCCCGAAATCCTTCCATCCCGTTTTAGCCGCTACAGGCCTGGCCCTTCCCCCAACATCAACCACCCGCACTACCGGCCGCCGGACATGGAGGTGGTCCCAGGCAGCTTGCTGAAAGCTTTGAGTTGTGAGCGAGTGCTTCACCAGTTTTGAGGTGGCTGAACATTTGTTCGTGTGTGATTGTGATCTGTGGTTGGCGACTCGCGATTGTGATGTGGTTTGTGCATGCGGAGGGTTCGCTGGTACTCGCAAATATGGTCACTCATGGGCAAACTCGACGAGTTGACACTCGCTTCGGTGACGTGTCCATCTGCGGAGGTCTGACTGACAGACGGTTTGTGGGCGTGATGTACTTGTGGCCGCACTCGTCATGTTTGTACATCCGTTTCTCACTTCTTCGATTCCATCTAGTCAAGGAGGAGGTGTGAGAATAGAATTTTGGTGGAGTCGGAGGGATCTAGCCGTGAGAGCCTCGGCCACATTTTGTACATGGCATGTTTTGGACTGGTGGTTCAGTCGCTACAATCTATTTGCAGCTCTGGCAGATGTCCGTCATGCGCGCTTTGCCAGGTTTGAAGACAAGGGCTTTGGTTTCATCGAGTGCCCAGACATTACCAAGAAGTTTGGGCAAGATGCGCCCGGCCCCCAGGTGCGATTGTCCCACTGTACGAACGTCATGCAATCGCAGAAGCTAAGCGCTTCTGAGTCGACAAAAACTTCGCTTCCGCCTTTCCACGTTCTCGACTGCAACATGGTGTTGCAAAGCGCGGCAAAATCTGAACAGAGTGTATGGTCATGGTATAGTCATGGTCTAGCTGGCGTCCGCTGGTATTGCACTGTCCGCACTCCTCTCTTTCAGGTTCCTTCATCGAACACAACGCAAGAACTTCAAGCGTGGGCAGTACGACGCTTGTCTTAGATGTGCACAGAGTCATGTTGCGACCGGGGTTGGTGATAGATGTATTTCAGGTTTAGTCTGGCTTGGTTTTCATCGCCTTTCGGCATTCGGCTCTTTGCCGAGCGAAGATCCCCGAAGATCCTGAGGTTTCTTTCTCCGTCTACCTCAACTACCGCGGGAAGTGCGGGGCCAGGGAGACACCTCTGGCGAGTGTGGTCGCAAACCCTGCAGGGCTTGCGAACTCCTCTGTACACATGCTTGAGCCAATGGTGGTTGTTGGGGTACCGTACCCACCTTAACACAGTTGGAAAACAACGAAGTTTATCTTCATTCTAGGAACGGCGGCCAGTGGTGGATTTTGACTGACCCACATTGCAGAAAGCCTCCCATGGAGAAGAAGAAAAGAGGAGAACAGCAAACGCAAGGATTTGCGCGCACAAACGCTTCGGATTTTTTGAGGGCCCCCACCCCACCCTTGCCTGGGGCGGGGGGGGAAAGAGTGTTGGTTTCTGTTTCTGTTCTTGTGTACGAGAGTTGAAGGTTTGAGTCAAAAGGCCTTGGTGACAATCGAGGGCCCGCGGAGATTTCAGACATCTGAGCAGCATCACGCTTGCGGCATGAGGTTCAGGACGACAAAATTCAAAAGCACTACTGGCCATGGTTCACATTTCAAAGACGGAGCAAGCAAAACAAGCCTATTCCTCCCAAAGCCAGGAACGAATGTCAGTGGTTCAATTGCAGTGCCTCCAGATAGGCGATTCGTAAGCAAGCGGTAAATATCAGAACCTAAGGCTTAATTTTCTTTCAAGCAAGAAAATCCAAGAACGGCAGCCAGCCCGAAGTTCGTACGGCAACGGCCAAGGCCGCAGGCGACAGAGCTGCGCAAGGCGGACAAGCCGAAGCTCGAGGAGAAGAACGAGTTGAAGCCTGTCTGAGTAGGCTCATTTGGGCCTTTTGGGTCAAAGTGGCAATCAGGGTTTCAGGATTGAAGCCACTTGGAGTGCTCGATTTTCCAGCCCAGATGAAAATGAAGCATGGCCAAGTTCATCTCTTTGATTCTTTGCGCACCCTGAGAGTGACTCCCGTGGAAGTTCCTGCCTTGATCGATGCTTGGGCTTTCACTGTCAGAGCCCAGAAACATCCGCCGGTGTTTTCTGTCTTCAGTGTCGGCCCTGAGCGTCAGCCCAAGTTCCAAAAGCCCAACAAACGCCAAAAGCTCAGAGCATCCCGGTATCCAACACACTCGAATGCGGCATCCAGCTGCTCCTGCGGCTCTGTGCAGGCTGGGACGCTACGCCTGAGCTCTACACCCGAAAGCTCTGTAAGAGAAGGTGCCTGTTTCAATCGAGCCAATCTCATTGGCGTGAGTCTCGCCCCCAGGTTCTTGGCGAAAAAAGGGCTTCGGATCATATGTCTGTGAGATCTTGTTTGAAGGGCACGTTTTATGAGGCTTCAGGTTGAGGTATAGGAGGATAAGGGTCTTAAGCGCCAAGCTGGTGGACATATGTTTGGCTGTACAGCCTGAGCCTGGTATGGATGCTTTACCTTTAGGCATACGAGGTTCCCCCGGTGTGATTCTTACCATCATGTGCAAGGGATCGGCGCAGAGTTGCCCTTGATGAAGAACCAGGGGGATCAGGAGAGAGCGCTCGCTCGATGGCACCGAAACGTTGCGCGCAGCAGTCAAGTCCAAAAACAGAGAAATATTCCGACCCAAAGCTCCTCTCAAAGTAAACGCTCGAGGAGCTCCGAGCTCCGAAGCCAGGAAAGCTGTTCTATACAAAAGCCGAAGCCCCAATCAAAGCTCGATCACAACGCTTTCATACCCACAGTTCCAAGATCTGCTTTACAAGCAGGGCTTCCATTTGAACCTTCGGAGTTGGCTTCGGTTTCGTCGTCTTGCGTTGGCCAAATGCTTGTTCCTAAGCTGTGGAGATTGGAGTTTTGCATGTCCTGGCATGAATTTTCTGCCAGGAGAAGCTTGTGTGTGAGCCCAGGCTGTGCCCACCCCACAGAAGCCAAAAGGGAGAACACTCGAAACCCCAAAATGGTGCGAGGCCAACACCCCCAAACATGATGTCAAATCCAACCCAAACACTCCGACCCGATTAACTTCCGACACTGGTGCCATTGTGCCATGGCCAGCGCGGATGTTGCGGAAGGCCCGGCAGGATCTTCGCATATGTTGTTGCAGCCAGAACTCCAGACCTGGAAAGCTTCACAAAGCTAGATCCTGAGCCTGAGACCCGACCCTCAACCCCAAACCATGATGCCTGCCTTCTGCACTACTTCGAATCCGAAATCTTGGGCCACAAGCGCAAAAGATGCGGGGTCTTCCTAAATGAGAACTTTGGTGGCCTTTGTCATGTGTTGCTGCTCAAGTAGGGCTAGGAGGTCAGGCGCTGAACCTCGAAGGCAGAAATGCATGATTTTGGGTTATCTGTTTGCTAGGCTAAAGGCGATCAAGCGTCGAAGTGCGCCGTAGCCCAATTTCCTTCACGCAAACCAAAGCCAAGGCCCCCAACGACTCCTCACAATGGTGTCCCTTATGAAAGTGAAGCTCTTTGAAAGCTGCCCTTTTCCACTGCAGACCCATGCTAGGCCGCAAGCTGCTCCGCCACTTCCGTCGGCGCCGAGAGCTGGGCCTACTGCCCGGCCGGGTGAACTGCCCTGTGAGGCGCATCACCTTTCAGCCCTTGAGAGCGATTTCTCGTCAGATTCCCCAAAAGAAGAGACAGCTGCTTACGACTGGACTCTACAGAGTGAAGCTGACATGGGGAAATGCCCGAACCTCCACCCACAGCCCCACAGCCCTGAACCGCGAGAGTCAAAATCTCCACGGTCAGGACGCCGGGGACAGTGACGCTGCCATCTCACCGTGCCCAGCTCAAGGGGTACTGGTACAAGCAGCTGTTAGAGTTCTTTCTTCCAACCCTAATTAAAGTTACCCCCAAACCTTCCGGACTGGCCCTTTACCCCTGAAGCTTTTCGACTGGCCATTTGGCTCAGCGGGTACCCCCGACACGCTGCACTGGAGGAGCCCGGCCCAGTGCCAAACCATGACTTTGCCTGCAGCCTGAACGGGCACCAGAGGGTTCGGTTTTCTATGGTGTTCTGTAGACGTCCTCAGAACCCTGAGCAAGATGCCAGGAGAATCAAAAAGGATGACGACCCGCTTCAAGAAGAGCCGCAAGATGCATGCCCACAGGCCCGGTCTTGCTTCACAATGCTACGGGCATTTCTTGAAGCAAGACTCCTAAGCTTTGACATTTCATTTTCCAGAGGGACTCCGCGCAATTTGGCTCGTACCACGCAGTCATCAGTCGTGAGAGGCAAGGTGATTAATTGGTTTCAAGGCTGTGGGCCAACTTTCAGTCACTGGAAAACCAACATGTTCCGACTGTCCTACCTGTGCATATATCCAAGTGTCTGAGTGTGTGTGCCGCCTTTGCTGCGGTGCCTGACAGAAGCCACATGCCACAAACATGTCCAGGAAGCGGGGCCATGGCCGCATCGGCAAGCACCGCAAACACCCGGGCGGCTGCGGAAACTCGGGAGGTGTGGGCCTACAGGGCTCATGGCCTCGAGATGTCGTTTTGGGGAGTGTAGAGAGCTTGAGGGCTTGCATGGAGCTGGGTTTTCAGACACATTCGGTCTTGAAGGCAGGCTTGAGTCTAGGTGTTTTGGCTTCAAATGTCACAGCAGCCCCTGATGAGCGGGGACGAGGGCGCTTGTCGAACCCTAGGCCCGCAGAATTGTGCAGAAGTCCAAGGGCCCAAGCCTAGAACAGTGCACTCGATGGCCACAGCATTCTGGCATCTAGAACTGATCGGGCCAAGAGGGTTTGACACTTTTTTGCGACTTGTTGGTTGGAGGCGTGTGATCTGCCGAAATGCACTTCCCGAATCTTGACTGCTCAGCCGATCCCAGCCATCTCATTCCTAAGTCTTCCGGCACATGACTAAAGAGCCTGCCCAACCCACCCTCAAAAAAGTGTGTGGGTTCTTGGGCAGGTCAGCACCACCACCGCATCAACTTTGCCCTGTGCTCAGGGGGCAAGGTGGCAGAATGTGGGGCAGAGCAGGAAAACTTGAAGGTCCGGATACACTTCGTTTAAGGTTTCCAGTTCAGTGTTCGGACTTGGATCCTGGGGTGAGGAGCCCGGCCATGGAGGGAATGTCATGACATGAGGCGCCCGAAGCCATAAGCTCACCTCGAACTGAGCCAACTAAAAGCCGAAAGAAAGAATGGAACCTTAACCCCTTAAAGCTTAGATGAACTTACCTGCACGCGCAGAACCGAGAAGCGCAGCAAGTCGAAAGCCATAAGCCCTCAGAAGCCTTTCTCCCCGGTGCCGGAACTCGGACCCCTGGATTGTCTTGCCACGTACAGTCTATCTTAGCTAGGTTTCCTGGGCATAAGGTTTTGTAGGGCATGGGTTTTGAAGATGCAGGGAGGGTCGTTGTTATGAGATTTTTGTGCTTTTTGTTCTTGTTGGTTGGGGGGGGGGTTGGCTTTGTGGCTGTCAGGCTTTCTGGGTTTCGAGGCCTGCGGGTTTCGCAGCTTCTGGGCTGGGTGGCTTTTGGGCATCGCGTTGTTTTTTCTAGGGTGAAGGTTCGTGGTGGTTCCTTCAGCGCTGCTCCCACCCCTAATACTGCGCTTCTACCACTGCTGGGGCCACTACGGCCACTACTGCTACTGCCAGTATGCCTTAGTACTACCATGTATTCTACACTTGCTTTTGCCATGTTCTTAAGTTACTTTATGATGCGTCATTACCAGCATAGTACTGCTACTACGGCTTCGAGAGCAAGCGACCAAAAGCACCGACAGTTTTGCAGTTTGCAAGCTCAGACGTCCGAAAGTGATGACAGTTTCGTATTTCGTGAGCCTAGAAGTCCCAAAGCGATAACAGTGTCGAGGACGGCGAGTGTGACGCCCGGACCCGGGCGTGCGCGTGATTCTTATCCAAAATACGAGCAGAACTTAAGGAAAGACCCGTGGTTCGCAGTGGGCGGCCTGCGAAAAGATGCCGATTGAGCCCCTCTTGTCCTGAACATTGACCCTTAGAGTTGACACACTGTTTTGGGGGAAAATGACGGAAAACATGGGCACAAAAGGTTTCATGGTTTAATGTCGAGCAGCGGCCAAGGACAAGTACCATCCCGGCTACTTCGGCAAGGTGGGTATGCGGAACTTCCATCTCATCAAGCATGGCAAGGCCTGGTAACTGAGACTTTGCCGGACTGTTAGAGCTGTAAGGGCTTGGTGGCTTCAAAGCTTCACATGGTGTCAGGATTTGGGGCTTCAGGGATGGGGCCAAAACCCAGCTTGTGTCACTCTTGCCAGGTCTCTGGCCTGCACGGCCCAAAGCCAAAGCTTCTAAGCTGCGTGCCCAAATGTTCGACCTAGGCGTGAAACCCCATCAGGAAACTCCATCAGACTTGAGCAGAGCACAATTGGTCCCAAGCCCCAACGGCCAACTTTCCCGCTTTCGCCAAGTGCTTTGTATTGTGTTGGGTTTATGGGCCCTCTACTGGGTGACGGCTACAGCTTTGTGGTTCAGGTCATTCCTATCATCAACGTGGAGCGCTTGTGGTCTCTGGTTTCTGAGCAGACACGCGCATACTACAAGGCTCCTGCGTTCTGCGTTTCAGGCATAAGGCCTAGTGCTTAATGCACTGTGACTCAGGGTTGCGAGTGTGTGCTTCATGAGGGCACGGGGTTGATCACAATGTCTTGGGAGAAGCGCTAGGTCCCTCCTTGTGCAAGGTTCGGGGCTCTACCATAGGTCTACTTAAATTGCGGGCAGGGTTCCAGCCAATCGACAGACGTCGAACTGCTTCCCTGAGGAGCATACGGACAAGGCACCTGTCATCGATGTGATGAAGGCAGGCTACATGAAGGCCGGCTTAAGCTCAAGGGGAGCGTAGGGAGAATGACCTTGAAAACAGAACACGTTTCCGTGGCTTGGACTTGCGTGGCATCCGTTGTGACCTTGGGAGGTTTGCGGCAAGGGCCAACTCCCGGAGCAGCCTCTCATCGTCAAGGCCAGAGTGACTTCAAGGCTTTACGGATGACCTTAAGCCCAGAAGCACCGCCCAACTACATGTTTGGTGAGGGGGGTCGTTCGCCCAATGCTGAACAGCTCAGCTTCATAAGGCGCGGTACTTCACCAAGGAGGCCGAGACCAAGATCAAGGAGGCTGCTCCTACCTGAAACCAGACCTTCCTCCACTGCAAACTGTGACGTTAAAGGCTTTAGTGGAGTGTCGGCGGTGGCAATGTTCGACCAGTTCAAGCTTAGTCTTACCGAATCATGCCATCAGGATCATGAACTCCTAGCCGCACTTATAAAAGTCCGCTGATAGGGGAGCTGGTTTTTTAACAGTCCGCTGGTAGTGCAGCCTGCTTTTCGGGTTGGCGCTTTTGGGGCGCAGCTTTCGGGATCGTCAGGTATGGCGCAGCTTTGTCGACAGTAGTTGGATCTGTGTGCCACCCAGGCTGGAGGCGTCTGCGTCCTTTGCGCATGATCGTCCCGAGAAGATCGTGATCGCAGCCGGGGGAAAAATGGACTGCCTGGGCTAGGGTTGCGATGTGTTGCCAGACCAAGCCTCGTATGAGACATGAACACAATGTTAGAATGCCACGTGCTTTAGGTTCTGCTTGATCCCTCGCCACTTTAACCCAAGCCCTGCCTGAAGCACTCCTACAATGCTCAGGTGCGGAGGTCTTGCTGAAACAGCCCTTCGGGTACAAGTCGGTGCCCCGAGAGGCTGGGAGTCTCCGAAAGCCTCTGAAAGGGCTGTGGTACGATTCAGACAAAGGCCTTGCGTGGATCTGAGTTTGAGAGCCTCATCGAGTGAAATTCAGTCGGCCTCTGCATGGCCTGGCCTAAAGTGATTCTTTGCATTCCTTTGCCCGCCTGCCCACTGGCTGGCTGTGCTAGTACCAGTACTCTGGCAACTGCTGTTTGGAGGCCGCGCTCTCTAAGGGTGAGAAAGACATCAAACGTAGAACATCGCCTGACCCTTCCTTCGAAACCGGATTCGCCACATTAGATCCACACACTTGGGTTCGTTCAAAGGCAGTTGCCACTTGCAGCTGAAACTCTGTTTGTCAGACATGTTTCATGCCCAAGGGGAGCTCAAACATCTCTCCGTTTTGTTGAACAAGCACACAGGAAACCCGGAATCGTGCCTCACAACAATGTGCCGAGCCTTGCGCACAAGTGGCACCAGCCCCCCAACTCTCCCCATCCTGCTAGGCACTTGCAACGCACAAAGGTTGAGTTTGTTGAAGCAAGGAACAAGGGGCAGTGTGCTAAAGACCTGGCACCCGAAACCTACCGCAAACCGCAAGCTTGCATGCAGTGTACTGAGGGCCTACTGCCTTTCTTCAGCTTGCTTTGTCTGGAAATGCTTTCTATTCTTGTCGCGGCTCGCGATGTGAGGAAGCCGACTCGGAGAGTTGCTCGTCTGCCTGGAAAGAAGGGAGGTGTTTTGATTGAGGCTGCTTCAAGTTTTAGTACTGGGCTTTCCGGGGACAGTTTTGGCTTTTGACTCATGTTGCTCTACATTGAGTGAGCTTTGGGGTTTGGAGCCGCCACTATACGAAGGCTTGCTTCTTCAGGGAAGCTCCAAGATGTCCCGGGGTCTCCTTGTACGATTCTCAAAGAGGGCCCGCAGAATTCAAAATCCCTCCGAGGCAGTTCGCGGAGGAGGGAACTTGACGCGCGAGCCGTGATGCTCGAGGTGCCTTGCGTGGGGCTGCGCACGAGTTGTGGTGTATGAGCTCTTTGTTGAGCTAGTTTGCATGGGGTATGGTGTTGTTGTCGATGATGGGCTTGGCGGCGTGCCACTGGTGACCATTGATATACAGGACGTTTCGAGATTCTAAGTGAGTGTTACTAAGATTCACGCAAGTGCCAGACTTCAACTTACGGCTGTCCAAAGCATCGAAGCGAAGGTGCGCCTGCAATTGCAGAAATGTGCTCGCGAGTGCACCCTTTACCAGCAGCAATCTCAAACCCACCGCCCCCTGTTCAGTCGCATCTGGCTGAGCTGGCGTCCGCACTGGCGACGCAGCGGGGCTGTTCAGAGGAGCCTGGGTCAAATGAATGCTGGTTTCAGGGTTTAGGCGGGGCTCGGTCTAGGCCAACTTGTCTCAAAAATCGAGCCTCATAGGCCGAGGATGCCACGCACTGTGGTCTTAGACCTCGACCCTCTTCAACGGTCACAAAGTTCGTTACATAGCCCAAAAAGCTGATTGTCGGACTCGGGCCTCCTGAAATCTCATCCCTTGCTGCATTCGTCAAGGTGGTTTTTGTAGTATGTTTTTGTAGTTGCAACAAAAACCTTGAGGTACATACGCTTTTGGAAAGCTATCCGTATGGCTGAACCGGAACTGCGGCAATTCAAAGTCTAAAGTACTTTTGAATTTCACAGTCTGGCCAATGGTTGAGAGCCTGAGGGCCCAGGCTTCGGACCAGCTGCTGAGCGCGCAACTCCCAATGTTAAAAAACTCATTCGCAACCCAGAAGCCCCAAGCCCTAGACGCCATCTAATCTTTGTTGATTTTTCAGATCTCTATAATCAGATCTTTAGTACTCCAGACTCGAAGCCTGTAAGAGGCCCTGCGCCCAAGCACCAAGATTTCTTCAGGAGGCTGAGAAGCGAGTGGTGGCACTCCAGGAGGATATGGCGAGAGCTGCCAGGGGCTTGAGGGTTGTTGGCTTGCAGGGTTCAATGGACTCGGTGTGCTCCCAGATTTTTGGTCCTCCGGAACCGAGGTCCTCAGAAGCCCCCAACCTGCTTGCTAAACCCAAGCCGAATGCAAGCCGAAACCGATGCCCAAACCTAGCCAAAGCCAGTCCGCCAACCCTGCAAAAGCAAACAGCCCAACCCAAGCAAAAAATGCGAAAGTGCCAATACCACACGTGTTTGCACTTTCCACAGCCCATGCTTTCATCCTAGAGCGCGGGGAACACAAAGAACTTGTAGGTCGGGCTCGTCCACTCTCCAAAAGTTGGGTTGCACGCTGGCAAGGTGGATCATCACGCCTCCCTGTCCCGTGCCTTGGCGGAAGCCAAAACGCGCGAGAAGGAGCTGCTCCTTGGCCCAAAGTGCGGGCTGATGACGGGCGCGTGGCAGCGCGTTGAGACTATATGCGGTGCGCAGTGAGATTTAGGATTGCGTGTAGGGGGGGGGGGTTGTAGTACCTCAAAGTCCAAAGTTCTGAAAAACACTTAGCCTTCCCGAGCTTCCGCGAAGCATGCACTTGAGCAGCTGAACATACCGAGCAACCCTGAAATCCCGACATCGCGCCATGTCATAACTACACGAGTGTGCTTCAGAGAATTTTCTCGAAACACCGAGCGCAGCCAGGCTCCATGAAGCCGTCCGCCTACAAGCGGTGCTCCAGGACTCTAGGTACTGTCTGCTTTGTGCACGTGGTCTTCGGGTGCATGATCAAATTGGCAGGTTGTGTGGCTTCTTGGGATTGAATGCTACATTTGCAGCATGTGTTGCCGCAGAGCCGGGCTCCAGCTGCTGCGCTGCGGAGTGCAGGAACTGTAGCGTGCATTCAAAATTCTAAGATTTCAATGCTTGTATTCATGCTGAAAAATCTTTGTTCCGCAGCCGCCTTGAGCTTGAAGACGTGCAAGTTTAAACGCCGTTCCTGGCACAATGGACGGCGTCGAGGGTGAGAAGGGCTCCGGCAAGGGCGGCTATGGCAAGGGCTACTGGGGAGGCGTTCCTCCGAATCGGTGTGCTTGATACGAAAGGGCTCTCTGCTGAGCCTTTGAAGAAGATAGAGGAAGCCAAAGGGCTGCTAGTTTTTATGGGCCCATTGGCTCTCAACATTCCTAAACATTGGCAGTTGTGCCCTGCACACGCAGCATTGCTTGTCCCACCGTGCCCTCTCACAAGTGTCTGCAGGCTGGGGTTACCCCATGATGATGCCCTTCTTTGGGAAGGGCAAGGGCAAGGGACTGCGAGGCTTGGCGCCGCCCCAAACCCGTGTAATCCAGACCCGCGAAATTTTGGACCGACGTCCCGCGGGTCCAGATTCGCTCCAGTTGCTTCTGTTGTTATGCATGAAGGGCACTCCTGGTTCGGAATAGGCGCGAGTCACAATTGCACACAGCAAGCCAACACCCTTCACATCATGAGCAACAGGGCCTTAGATATTCGTGCTCGTGGCCGCCTCGTGGCCCATCATAGCCGAGAAGCTAGAAGATCCAAGAGGCTCCTCGCCCCAAGACTGCCGCCAGGCTTCCCAAACGAGAAGAGCCTGGGCGAATCAGTTGACCGCCTTTTCGCTCCAGAGTTCTTCAGGTCAGGAAGGAAGGTTCAAGAGGGGATCACAGCAGGCTGCTGCAAACCTGGACTGATTTTGTTGCGGTCCTTCACCTGTGGTTTCCGATGCCTCACCTCGTCAACATCATGGTCATAAAGCCGAATGATTTCCCAACATCAGCCCGAAGTGCTGAAGGCCCAAGACGGAGCACCCCAAAACAAAAGAAGCACTAAAGCCACCAGTCCGAGCTGCAGGAAGGTTTGGATTGGGGGGCTGCCGGAGGCGCCACGAGATGTGGAGAAGAACAAGCCGCTCGAACGAAGGGGTGGTGGACCTTGTGGAGGGGTGTCGGGCAGGCCTCGCTGCATCGACGTTTATAATCATGGGTTTTGGAGCGAGGATGTGAATCGGTGCCTGGGTCTCGGCATTTGTGTTGGGAGCCCCTGCTTGAAGCCCAGAAGCAACGCCTATGTCTTACAATTTATAGGTACGTGCTGGTGTAGCATTGCAATCGAAGCTGGGCTTTAGCCAGCCGAGGAGGCTCAAGGAGCACATGGCACAGGCGGGCCTAAGGTTTGTGTGTCGTTTGTGTCTGGGGCTTGCTGGCGTGGTCTACATGTCGTGGGGCTTGCAGCTGCGATGCTTCCGGTTCAGATTTTGCAATTTGTGCGGAGTGTGCAATTCATGGGGTTCTGCTTGTTTCGTTGGGTTGGAGGCTCGATGGCCCAAAACGCGAACTCCTAAACCTGTGGGAGGGAATCGGTTGACATCTGTTGAGAGACCGTAGTACTGACATGGTCCTAATCTCTTCAAGCTTCCACTAGGCTGGCGAGTGTGTTTTCGCGGAGATCAACCGCAGCGGCATCGGTGGAGCGGCCTTCAAAAACCCCGAGGACGTTGTTTAGGACTTCAGGCTTGGAGTGATCGGAAATCGAACTGCGTTCAATGGCTCAGCATTTGGCCGAGGCGTAGCAAGCTCACACAGGGCCGCCTTTACTTCAGCTCAGGCGAAGTTGCTAAGATGTAGAAAAGTAACTAACTGCAAGTCCTGAGTTCTTTCTCGCAGGACGTGCAGAAAGCTGTGGCGATGCTCAATGGAAGTGCCGGTGTTGCAGTCCGAAGCCTGAAACCTCCGATTCCAAAGCTTCCAGACCAACACGCTGAACAGCAACAAAGACCCCCCAAATGCTTGACCTGTTTGAGGAGTCTCCGGGTTTAGGATGTGCTGAGCAGAAAAACCATGCATCCCCAAGTTGTAATCTACAGGGTTGCAATACTGACCAGCCATCGACTTGACTTCTTTCCTTTGATCTCGTGCGGAAGCATGTGTGATTCGCGCACGTGCGCGCGTGCGCATGCGTCGGCACACTGGCTACGCAGACAGCCTGCTGCAGCAGGGTTTTCAGACAGCTCTTTTCTTTGATCTTTCCAGGACAGACGCGCGGGAAGATCTCAAATCTCAGTCCTTCATGGGATTTGAAAAGTGGTATTGACTCGAAGCCTGAAAGTCCAAGCATTCAATATTCCCTCACCTTTGAGAAGCCCCAGTGCCCAAGGTGCCTTCGAGGGGCACACTCTTCAGGCTCGGAGCAGTAAAGCGAAAACAGGTTCTTCCAGCCTGGTCTGGGTCGGAGAGAGGAGCGGTCAGACCTCTATCTCACTTTGTCTTGCGAGTCTAGCTATGCAAGTGATGAGGACAGGCCCGACATGTGAAACCGCTAGGTCGATGTTTGGACGCGCAAGACGCCTGACGAGCCGGCCGCCTGAGTGCCGGAGTGAAAGCGGGCGAGTATGCGAGGTGGACCTCTCGGAGGTGAAAGGAGGGTCACATAATTTTGTGCGGAGGGCATTTTTCTCTCATCACTTGATATCATTGTGATGATTGTTCTTCTGACTTCTGGCATTTGTTTGGTCGTTTTATGTCGTTTTCTTTTTTCGGCTCGGTCCCCCGGTCCCTCCCGCGCCCCCGCAAAGGCCAGATTCCAGGCTTTTTGTACCTGTAGCCATTCAACCACAGAGGGGTTGCAGGGAGGGGCGTGCCCAATGAAGCCAAGCCAAAGCTCTTTGTTTTTGCTTCCGCCCAAAACCAACAGCCCAGCCAAAGCCAAGTCAACCACACCATGCTTTTAAGCGTTCCGGCCATGTTCAAGGCCGATGCTGACACTGTTACATATGAAGGGGGGGGAGGTGCTGCCTCAGCCCCGCCAAAGCCAAACCAACCAAATCATGCTTTAACGTAAGCAAGACATAACGTGCTTGACAAGGTGAATGGCTTGTACTCGAAGCCCCCCACCCGACCGCCTAGCATTGTTTCGGCGTAAACCAGTGCCGGACAAGACCTATCGAATTGCAGCATGTTATCATCCTCGTCCATGGTTTGATTTGCAGCAGCTGTCCCTATCCATTTTTTCAAGAAAATCCAAAAGACGTGTTGCGCGGAGGGACAAGCGCAGTACCACAAAAGATAACTTTATCGAGCGTGCCTCATGTGCACCTATGTCGCGTTAGATCTGATTCATGTAGCCCTAGAGGGTCCAGCCTCGTGACCTATGACCAGATCTGAGGGGGATTTGTTGTCGCTGTTGGGCTTTAACATATTTTGCCTAGAATTTTGAGCAGGCGTGTTCATTGTCTGAGCAATCGATCCCCCTGCAGCAATGATGTTTTGCATAGCAATGTGAAGAGAGCTCGCGAAGCAGAGAAAGAAAGATTTTGAGCTGGCCGTGGCACCATTCTCTGAAGCTATTTTCCCCGTGTGAGGGCCAGCATGTCCATGAGTTAGGCCTAGGAGCCGTCCCAATCCGCTAGGCTATGCTAGGCTCAGCGGGACACAGCAGTTTGGACCCAGACACTGTCTGCTAGGACCTCACGCGAGAGCAGACGGTTCCAGAGGACAGTTCTGGAGCTGACTGGATCCCACGTAATTCTCTTGCACACAGACTTTGGATTCGTTTGAGCGTAGCACCTAGGGCCGCTTCAAGTCACGTCCTCCGGAATCGGGAAGCCCATGGGAAGCGCAGCAGGAGCCTTTGTCAAGACGCCCTCCGGAGGCCGTGGCAGAGCGTCGGGGGCTCAGCAGGGTTCTTTGCAGCAAGTACAAACATTGCGACGGGTTTTCTGAGGGCTTTGGCTCAAGTTGTCGGGGGTGTCTTCTGCGTTCTTCACGCACGTAGGCCATTCGTACCTCCAGGCATGTGCTGTTTGGGAAAACCCTTTGGTTGCTGTTGGCTGCACAGGTCAGGTCTGGTTCAAGAAGGTTCGGGCTTTTTGTTCGGGGAAAGGCTTTAAATAAAAACAGCAAGGTTTCAGGCATATAAAGGTGTTCAAATATGGCAGACAGGAAGACAGGCAGAAAGTGAGGAAGGAAGGAAAGAAAAGAAAAGAAAAGGAAAGAAGAAAGGGATGCGAGCGTGAGGGCTGGTTGTTAAGAACAGTATGCCACGGAGAGGAGCTGTTTTCAGCCGGGGAAGAAAGTTAAGAACTTTGGCGCGAGGATATTTAACATCAAATGCTTACATCGTGTTGGCAAATGGGGGGGTTCCCGATGCCTTTTGAAGTCCGTCACGCAAGCTCGCATTTTTTTTTCAGAACGTTGGGCTCGCAGGAATTGCACTACCCTGTGAATCCCCAGTACTTCATTGAAGAAGTTGTTTGTTGGTGGGTGCAAAGCTTTTTGATCCCTATTGCCCCACGAAAAGTTTAAGTTGCCTTTGCTCAGGTGATCGTCGGGGGCTTCTTGAGGTTGTGTTTGTTGTGGTGGCCTGTGAGTTCTTGATTTGAAGCACCAGAGCAAGAAAGCCTGTCCAGATCCTGGGCCTGGGCTCACAAGAACCCGAAACCCTCGTAACGAACAGGCCGATCCTGTCAAGACTGCATCGAACCTTGGGATCGCCTGTCTGATCAGGCCTGGCATTGCACCAAGCTTACCTCCTGCAGCTGGCGAATGAAAACCACCAGCTCCGGCAGCAAAGCCGTGGTCTTACCCTTGCTTAGGTTTCGGTGGGCATCAGGTTCGTGTCAGGAATGTTTTGTTGACGGTCGCTGGTTTCCACGTCGAGTTTGCTAACAACTCGTGCTTTTTAACATGTTCGGATTGAAGCTGGGCGAAGGTCCATGCGGCTGAGTGCGTCCATGCTGTTCCTTAGGAGATGCTTTTGCGATCATTTGCTTGTTGTGCCGGGGGTTGCGTGAGATATTTCCTTTTCTTACTGTGCGTGCCAAGGCCAAACCTGACCTGCGCTTTGACCAGATAATGGCAAAGAAAATTTGCACCAGTGTTTCCCCACAACACGCAAACAACCAGTGGCATGTAAGAAAGGGAGTGTGATGTTCGGAAGCTTTTCATCGCTGCAGCATGTGTTGCTTGGATGTTTTTTTGGAGGGCGGGGAGGGGGGGGGGGGCAGGGCGGCCCAAAAATTGAGCCCAGACTGCTTTCAGAACCGACATCGCTGACGGTGTTGGCTCAACAAGCAAGAACGAGGTGCAGATTCAAGCATGGCATGTGCAACTACGTAAGCCTTTGTAATTGCTGGACACGGGCTTCCGGACCCCCAATAGACTTCACAAAGCATTAGTGCCTTTCTTGGCACCATGGACGGTGGCGACGAGGGTGAGAAGGGCTCTGGCAAGGGCAAGGGCTATGGCAAGGGCTACTGGGGAGGCCTTTCGACTTCTGACAGTGCCCAGATTAAACTGAAAACCCCAACATAATGTTAAGGCTTACAGCTTTGCATTGATTGGGAGATCCGCAGTTCTGGGTCGTTAAGGGTCGTGATTGACCTTCATGTTGAACGTTTCGCCCCGCAGAAAAAATAGTTGTGGTTTCCATTCCGACCCTTGAAGGCCGGCCCATCGCCCCCAGTCCGACGCAAAAGCCAAACCTTCCACCCTCCAGTCACTGTAAAACTTGGTCCCTCAACCCACCGGCCATCCCCAAGAGCTTTGGCTTGTGGGATGTTGAGTGGCGGCTTGAGGGGTGGGGTTTTCAGGCTTCAGAGAGGGTGAATTCAGAGGACTGAATTGGCGGCAGTTTCTGGTGGATCTTCCTGGTTTTGTGTTGAGGGAGCTGCAGTTCCGGGGTGGGCTCAAAGCCCACAATGAGTTTGCGTCCATGAATCGGTTTGAGGCTTTCATGGTCTACTGGCCTTGAGGGTGTGGGGTATTTTGCAATGCGATGCAGCTTGCTGAAGGTGTCTTGGATTTTTGTCGAGGTGTAAGGTCGTTTGCAACTCCTGAACCCACTTCCAGACTCAACCAGTTGAGACCGTGAATTTTTGTTCGTGCCATCTCCACCCTTCCACCAAACGTGCTCTCTCTCCGCAGGCTGGGGCTACCCCATGATGATGCCCTTCTTCGGCAAGGGCAAGGGCAAGGGACTGCGAGGCTCGGCGCTGAAGCCGGGCTCGGGGGCTCTTGGCTTCCCATCCCTGCTGCCGCTTTCAGCCCACATCCTCTTTTATGTGCAGTGGCACTGGCCCGGGGTTCATTTTATGTACCATCCTCTGCCCGAACCACCGGCTTTGAACTTTGCAAGTTGTTAGGCTCTGTGTGATGCCGCTGCCAGGCTTCGCCAACGAGAAGAAGCTGGCCTTGTCAGTTTGTCTCATCTTTCAGGGAATGCGGGAGACCGGCGGATTAGGTGTCTTTAGGGCGAGGCTCTTGAAGAGCCTGCTTGAGCGAGGGCAGGGTTTTGGTCCTTTGCCCTTCAAGGTTTGCGTCTTACGTTTTCAGCATCTGGTCACTCCCCGTTCTCTCACCTCGGCCGACAAGCTTGCAGACCTTACCCGTTCTTACCCCTTCCCTTTCTCACTTCCCCACCTGACCGTTCACTTTTGGTCTCCCTCACGCATGGTTTCGTGGTGCGGAACTGTGCCAGCATGGGGTGCATAAATCCTGCCAGGTCGGGCATGAACACACACCTCACAGTGTGTACAGAAGAAAAGTTTAAGGTTTAATCTTAAGCCTTGAGACATCGCCAAAGCCCAAAAGTGCAATGTCTGTTTGCATGTTCAAGCCCGGGCGTTTTGTTGTGATCCCGGTGCGACACATGGTCACGAACTCCCCTCTTTTTGCCTTGCGACCAGCCCTCCAACCATCCTCCCACTCTCAACCGACAACGCACCGCTTCAGGAAAGTTTGGATCGGGGGCCTGCCGGATGGGCCGAGGGATGTGGAGAAGAACAAGACGCACGGCATTTTACACCAGGGTGAACCATCTTTGGGGAGCCTTCTTGTTGTATACTCTCTCAGGGAGGAAGGTCCGGGTGCTAGAGCGCAAACCACCGCTATACTTATACGCTGCACCTTGACTGGTTCTGAACACGTGGCCTAGTGATGCCTAGTGGTGTTTCGGTTTGCGGACCGCCCCTAGACACTAGAGGCCCGTGCCCGCTCAAGGGATAAGTTGTTGGGATTCCAGGATTGCTAGGAGATTTGTGGGCCAGTGGGCCATGTCGCTCTAGTTTTGAACCCTGCGGAGCCTGCCAGCACCTTTGGAGTCGAGCTCTTTGGCTTTGATTTTGCTTGGTTTGCTTGCGACTGCCCCCCAAGGAAGCTCAAAGAGCACATGGCGCAGGAGTGGTGGGACTGGGGATCGAGGTATTCAGAGCTGACCTCTAAAATCGGAGCCAACGGACCAAACAAAAAACCCGAAGAGTTCTGGAGGCCGGCGAGTGCATTTTCGCGGAGATCATCAAGGGCGGCGCGGGCGGAGCGGCCTTCAAGAACCCTGAGGATGCCCTGGGGTCTGCAGGGGCTGGGGGCAGGGGCTGGGGGTAGGGGGTATCGGCTGCTTGGGCAGCCGACTTCCAATATCCTGCCCTTGGTCTGCGAAGGACGTGCCGAAGGCAATTGCGATGCTGAATGGCAGTGTCGCTGTTGCAGCTGGTGTTCATGCGAACCTTAAAGGCCTTAAAAGCCTTGAGCATCTGTATGCCTATGCTCCTAGATCCTAGACGAAGTGCCAAGACCCTGAGCTCGAATCCAACATAACCATCTCAGGAATTCGGGAGTTGGGGTGTCAAGCTTGGATTGGGGTTTCAAAACCACACACACACAACCTTTGTGCCTGAGTTTCTGAATGCCTCACAGAAGTCGCGGCCAAGGCTCCTTCGACGGGAACACCATTCAGGTGGGGGGGGGGGGTTTGCTGGCCACACTCTGCTTTTTTCGGAATTCGTAGCAACACAGGGTTGGGAGACTTGGATGAGCTTCTGGGTCTGGTGCCAGGAGGCCCCAGCTCTCAGAGGCTTAGGAACAGATGCGTTTATGCGTTCAGGGTGGATACGCTCGGCATGTGATACACGTGGCTGGTCCATTCCCCAGAGTGAGAGACGCTGCGGAGGTTGACGTTTGGCAGCGCAAGACGCCTGAAACGCCAGAGGCCTGAAACGTCAGACGCCTGATCCGGGCGCCATAGCAAATATTTTAACTCTGCGAGTGGGGAGGGGGGGGAAGTTTTGGATGTCAAAGCCCAGGCGTTCAAAGTCGTTGGCGTTCTCCTTTTGACGGTAGGTCCCCCTCCTGCAATTATGCTTTAAGAAGCCGTATCCAGAAGGCGTGCGCAGCACGGAACGAAGGCGGTCTTGCAGTCGCACAGCCGTCTGAAGCCACCAAGCCTCGCATCGACAGCTGCGTTCAAAAGCTAAGTCCGCTGTGCTTGAGTCTTTCTGGCAGCTTGAGAAGGCTAATTCAGGCAGGCTCATGGATTTGTCTGGGGTCAGGAGTTTGGAGTGGGAGGGAGGCGTCCAAGCAGCCCTAAACCCTGAGGCCAAATTCGCAAAGCTGACAACAAGAATAGCAAGAATCGCAAGGTCTGGGCCTGTTTCCCTACAGTTGGCATGACATCCCTGGTTTCAGTGCTAGGTGGCAAGCGTTCTCCTGCTGCTTCGGGCTCGACAGCAATATGTTGTTGAGGCGCATGAGGTGCAGATAGGAACAAGGTGCATTCCATTGGAGCTTTGGGCACGAACAGAGACTCCCAAGCGCTGCTATTCTTAGCACCATGGACGGCGGCGGCGAGGGTGAGAAGGGCGCTGGCAAGGGCTACAAGGGCTTCGGCAAGGGCTACTGGGGAGGCCTCTGGGTGGGGGGGGGCTGCCCCGTGCATTGAAGCATACATGGTAATCCGCAGCATCCGGGCTCCGGAGGAAGCATCCCCCCCGAAGCAGAATCAAACTCATCTCCCCCCCGAAGAGAGAAGAACACTGAAGAGAGACCCAATCAGAAAAAAAGACTCAATAAACGATGGAGTCCAGGCTGGGGCTACCCCATGATGATGCCCTTCTTCGGCAAGGGCAAGGGCAAGGGACTGCGAGGCTCGGCGCTGAAGCCGCGCTCGGGGGCTCTTGGGTTCCCGGCCCCACTGTCTACGCTGCCAACCCGCATTCGATGAGAGCACTTTCAGCCCATATCCTACATCATCCTACATCTGCAGCGGCACTCTCCGCCGGGGGGTCATTTTGCATACCATCCGCTGCCGGCACCGCCTTTGAACTGTATGTAGCCGGCCAGTGAGGGCCTCCTTGTCAAAATAGGGCGAGGGACGGTGCTTTGAACTGCGCAAGTTGTTAGGCTGTGTTTGATGCCGCTGCCAGGCTTCGCCAACGAGAAGAAGCTGGCCTTGTCAGTTTTGTCTCAACTTTCAGGGAATGCGGAGACTGCAGGATTAGGGGTCTTTAGGGCGAAGCTCTTTGAGTTTTCAACATCCGGTCATTCCCTCCCGCCGTCCTCTCACCTCGCTTAGAAGCTTGCAGACCTTGCCCCTTATTACCCCTTCCCTTCTCACTTTCCACTTGGATTTCTCCCCCGTCTCTCCCGGTCTCCGCCAATCGACGAAGGTTCTTGAGCAGGCTAGTGAGGCTAGTGTCACGCACAGTCTCGTGGTGCAGAACTTGTGGAGCATGGGGTGCATGGCTGCATGACTCCTGTCAGGTCCTACCCCAATTGAGGTGTTTGGGGCGTGTCCAAAGTCCGAAGCTGTCCGCTCCGTTGTGTTGAGCTGTAATGTCAGTGTGCGGGGCTAATATTCCTCGGGTCAACGAGGAGTTGGCTTGAACAGAGACGCTCACAATGTATACAGATTAACACCATTCAGGGTTTAAACTTAAACTTTGAACCATAGCAAGATCCTAAAAAGAGTCTGCTTGAACATGAGCGCCGGCGCATGGCTTTTTGTTGTGATCCCGGTGCTAGTTTTTGCACGTGGTAATGAACGCCCCTCCTTTGCTCGTGCCGTGCGACGAACCCTCCAACCATCTTCGCCCTCTCAACCGACAACGTAGCGCTTCAGGAAAGTTTGGATCGGGGGCCTGCCGGATGGGCCGAGGGATGTGGAGAAGAACAAGACGCGCGGCATTCTAGACCAGGGTGAACCATCATTGGGGAGCCTTCTTGTTGTATAATCTCTCAGGGAGGAAGGTCCGGGTGCTACAGCGCAAACCACCCCACTGCATGCTACTGGCACCAGACAAGTAGTCACTGCACCCTACCTGGTTCTAAACACATGGCCTAGCGTTGTTTCGGTTCGCGGATCGCCCTAGACACGAGAAGTTGTAGGGATTCCAGGATTGCTGGAGATTTGTGGGCCATTGGGCCATTGGGCCGTGTCGCTCTAATCTTGAACCCTGCGGAGCTTGCCAGCACCTCTGGAGTAGAGCTCTTTGACTTTGATTTTGCTTGGTTTGCGATTGCCCCCAAGGAAGCTCAAAGAGCACATGGCGCAGGAGCGGTGGGATTGGGGATCGAGGCTTTCTGAGTGGGACAGGAGCCTGTGAAGCTTTGGACGGCTCATTATGTTGCGTTATGTTGCATTTTGCATACTTGGGTGGAGGTCCGCTGCTAGGCAGGCGGTTCTATTCTTCTACGTAGTCCATGGAACAACCGCGAGTGCGCAGGGGCTTGCCCTTTTGCTCTGTAGCTATGTGTTCGTCTCATTCGCGTTGAATGTTTCGGAATGTTCCGCCACCCTGCGCCTTCATGGCTGCAGGTATTGCCTTACTCTGCTTGATTTGGCCACAAACACGCGTCAACGCCTGCAACCAAACAGAAGCTCTTTGCCAAAGCCTTCCGGTGCGAGAATCGCCCTTGCAGCAGCTTGCGAGATTCCGGAGCCCTTAGCCTCGATTCTTTCCCAAGCGCAAGCTTCAAGCTCTAAGACTCGGAGACCCAGATCCCCTTTCAACCCGACAGCCCTCAAACTGACTCCCCAAAATCTGAGCGGACCAGACAAAGAAATCCGAAGAGTTCTGGAGGCCGGCGAGTGCATTTTCGCGGAGATCATCAAGGGCGGCGCGGGCGGAGCGGCCTTCAAGAACCCTGAGGATGCCCTGGGGGCTGCAGGGGCTGGGGGTAGGGGGTAGGCCCAACAGTTGAGATGTCAACTTGATATGTCTTTGAGGTGTAACTCGTGCTCGCAACTCTCACAAGATCGCGCCCAGTGGCTTTTTCGGAACAGCGCGGATGAGCTGCAGGGGTTCATTTGGTTTGGCTTGGGGGGGTTGATGGTGTTTTCGGTTCTTTGACGTGTCAGCTGCTTGGGCAGCCGGCTTCCAATATCCTGCCCTTGGTCCGCGAAGGACGTGCCGAAGGCAATTGCGATGCTGAATGGCAGTGTCGCTGTTGCAGCTGGTGTTCATGCGAACCTTAAAAGCCTTAAAGCCTTGAGTCATCTAGGAGCGCCAAGACCCTGAGCCCGGATACAACATGACCATTTCGGGAATTCGGGAGTTGGGGTCTCAAGTCTCAAGCTTGGACTGGAGTTTCCAAAACCACACACACAACCTTCGTGCCTGAATTTCTGAATGCCTCACAGAAGTCGTGGCCAAGGCTCCTTCGACGGGAACACCATTCAGGTTGGGGGGGGGGGGGCTGGCTGGCCACACTCTGTTTTTGGGGAGACTTGGATGAAGTTCTTGGTCTGGTGCAAGGAGGCCCTAGCTCTCGGAGGTTTAGGAGCACACGCGTTTATGCGTTCAGGGTGGATACGCCCGGCATATGATACACGTGGCTGGTCCATTCCCCAAGAATGAGAGACGCTGCGGAGGTTGACGTTTGGCAGCGCAAGACGCCTGAAACGCCAGAGGCCTGAAACGTCAGACGCCTGATCCGGGCGCCATAGCAAATATTTTAACTCTGCGAGTGGGGACGGGGGGGGAAGTTTTGGATGTCAAAGCCCAGGCGTTCAAAGTCGTTGGCGTTCTCCTTTTGACGGTAGGTCCCCCTCCTGCAATTATGCTTTAAGAAGCCGTATCCAGAAGGCGTGCGCAGCACGGAACGAAGGCGGTCTTGCAGTCGCACAGCCGTCTGAAGCCACCAAGCCTCGCATCGACAGCTGCGTTCAAAAGCTGAGTCCGCTGTGCTTGAGTCTTTCTGGCAGCTTGAGAAGGCTAATTCAGGCAGGCTCACGGTTTTTTCTGGGGTCAGGAGTGGGAGGGAGGCGTCCAAGCAGCCCTAAACCCGAAGGCCATGCGCCTGAAACTCGCAAAGCTGGGCTGTCCCTCAACAGTTGGCATGACATCCTTGGTTTCAGTGCTATGTGGCAAGCCTTCTTATGCTTCTTCGGGCTCGACAGCATTATGTTGTTGCAGGCAGGCGCGCGAAGTGCAGATGGAATCAAGGTGCACTCACTTGAAGTCTTCAGCTACGGGCACGAACAAAGACTCCCTGCCATTCCTGGCACCATGGACGGCGGCGGCGAGGGTGAGAAGGGCGCTGGCAAGGGTGGCTACAAGGGCTATGGCAAGGGCTACTGGGGAGGCTGAGCGGTTCGAAGACTTGAAGCGTTGCTGCCTTTTGATGTAAGTTTTGGTTGCCCAAGCAGGACTTTCATGGCAAAAGGGAAGCGTTTCAATACGTTAGGAAGGAGCATCGAGAATTCGTGCATTGCCGGAGCAAGGTTCCAAGAAGTTTGTTTCATCACCAATGCCATGAAGTTTCAGGTCAGGGCTTTCGTTCGATCTCAGGGTCGAGGTCTAAAGGTTTAGTTTGCTAAGGATTTAGGGGATTTAGGCTTTCGGGCTTGTGGGTCGGCAAGTCTCACGGGAGTTGCAAGTAGGTTTTTTTGCCGGAAAAGCATGGCGAGGGTTTTTCAGCGAAGGTGATCTTCGGCAAGATTCTTCGTTATCCGATGCATGGACGGTTTTCGTGATGGATGATGGATGGATGGATGGCGTGATGGATTTCGTGGGTTTCCTCTTACTCTTAAAAGCAGTATGTTTTCAAGCACGGGGTAGGGTTGGCGGAACTCGCCGCACCTGGCCAAAAATCGCGCTGGCGCGTGGGAGGATGTGGGAGGCGCTCGCATTTTCGTCCGCGAACGACAACCCTCTGCGTGTTCTTGGGGTGTCGTGAAGCTTCTTCGTTATCGTTGATGCGTGGATGGATGTCGTGATGGATGTCTTGATGGATGGCGGGTGGTCTTCGTGAAGGTTCTTCATTGTCATTGATGCGTGGATGGATGTCGTGATGAATGGCGTGATGGATGTCGTGAGGGATGGCGGGTGGTCTTCGTGAAGGTTCTTCGTTATCGATGTCGTGATGGATGGCGTGTTGTCTTCGTGAAGGTTCTTCGTTATCTTTGATGCACGGATGGATGTCGTGATGGATGTCGTGATGGATGGCGCGTGGTCTTCGTGAAGGTTCTTCGTTCTCGTTGATGCATGGATGGATGTCGGGATGGATGTCGTGATGGATGATGCATGGATGGATGGCGCGATGTGAGATGTTAATCGTGGCTTGAAAATGCTTTCGGGACAACCGTTTTCTAGTTGTGAGAATTTCAGAGTGCTCCACGCAGGTACCCCCACACCCCCCACTGTGCCAAGATCAATGTTGGGTTTTGGGGTCTTCGATACGGGGGGAAATCAGAGATTTCTGCAATTCCTAAAGGCTGGGGCTACCCCATGATGATGCCCTTCTTCGGCAAGGGCAAGGGCAAGGGACTGCGAGGCTCGGCACCGCTGCTGAGTGACCTCTTGCTTCCGTTACTTCCATCTAGCAGAATCTAGGGCTGCCTTTGGAGCTGCTTCGAGGTGCATCACAATAAGTCTGTCAGGCGCCAGATCAATCGTGATACCTTAGCTCAGAAGCTAGAAGGTCCAAGAGGGTTTTTGCCCCCGTGACTGCCGCCAGGCTTCCCAAACGAGAAGAGCCTGGGTGAATCAGTTGACCGCCTTTTCGCTCAGAGTTCTTCAGGGTCAGGAAGGAAGGTTCAAGAGGGGGTCAAAGCAGGCTGCTGCAAATGCCGCAGGGCACCTAGACTGATTTTGTTGCGGTCCTTGACTGGTGGCTTCCGATGCCTCACTATATGCCGACCTCGTCAACATCATGGTCATAAAGCCGAATGATTTCCCCACATCAGCCCGAAGTGCTGAAGGCCCAAGACAGAGCACCCCAAAACAAAAGAAGCACCAAAGCCACCTGCCCGAGCTGCAGGAAGGTTTGGATTGGGGGGCTGCCGGAGGCGCCACCAGATGTGGAGAAGAACAAGCCGCTCGAACGAAGGGGTGGTGGACCTTGTGGAGGGGTGTCGGGCAGGCCTCGCTGCATCGACGTTTATACCCATGGGTTTTGGAGCGAGGATGTGAATCGGTGTGCCTGGGTCTCGCGCAAGGGCTTGCGTTAAGTCGCAGGTTAAGAGCCCCTGCTTGAAGCCCAGAAACTACGACAGATGCATGTGTACCTGACGGCAAACCTCGAAGCCATTCAGCTCAGGGGCATTGAGGCGTGTCATGTTCTGGGGGATGCGTCGTTAGGTATCTCAGTGGGTTTATGGCTTTTCGGACCTCTGAGCTGCATGAACGTCCCCACCCCCACAAGCCAGGCTTCATGGCTTGAAGGATTGAGAAGGATTGAGAAGGATTGCGAAGGATTGCGGGTGCAGGATGAGGCTTTTTGGCTTCGGTCATCCTTGAGCTGAGCTGTGGGGTCAAAAGAAATAGGGTTCAGGAGATTGGGGATAGGTTCTTGGTTGAGAAGATCGAACCGGCGGAGTTTTAGGTTCAGGGGCTGCACGGCTGCCTGAGCTTCACCATCCAGCGTGTCAGCTTTTCACATGCGAGAACAATGTGTTGTATTGTGTTGTCACAGTTTTGGCAGTGGCTGGTTCCGACTTCCGGTCACTGAACCATAAAACGCGGTGTTCTGCTTCAGCATTGCCAGCCGAGGAGGCTCAAGGAGCACATGGCACAGGTGGGCCCAAGCTTTGTTTTCGTTTGTAAGTGCGGCTTGCTGGCGGCGTGATTTACACGTCGTGGGGCTTGCGCTGCTTCTGCTATTCAGCGGTTGTTGCAATCTGTGTTTCTTGGGGTTGGAGGACTCCAATGCCAAGTCCCAAACCTGTGGGAGGGAGGCTTTTGATATTGGTTGATAGACTGCGGTCCAGACATGATCCTAATAGAAAATAAATAAATAAATAAATAAATATATATATATATATATATATTCACTTCTCGGTCACACCAGCAGCAAGACAATCCTTCGTGTGGCTCATGCTTCGCAGTCGCAAGAACTAGCTCCAACGCGCTGCAAGCCCCCTCCCCCCCAAGAAAAAGCTCTTCAATTCGAGCACCATACGGAATGAGCCCTGAAGCAAACAAGCTTCAGAACTAGGCTGGCGAGTGCGTCTTCGCGGAGATCAACCGCAGTGGCATTGGTGGAGCGGCCTTCAAAACCCCCGAGGATGCGTTCCGTTTTTTTGGAGTTAAGGTTGGTCGGAACTCGAACTGTGTTCAACCCCTCAGCATTTGGGCTGAGGCGTTTCAAAGTCACACTGGGCCGCTCGACGTTACCTGCTTTCGGAGTCGTTTCTTCAGCCCAGGCGAAGTTGCTAAGATGTAGAAAAGTAACTAACTGCAAGTCCTGAGTTCTTTCTCGCAGGACGTGCAGAAGGCTGTGGCGATGCTCAATGGAAGTGCCGGTGTTGCAGTCCGAAGCCTGAAACCTCCGAAGCCCAAAGCTTCCAGACCAGCACGCTGAACAGCAACAAAGACCCCCCAAATGCTTGACCTGTTTGAGGAGTCTCCGGGTTTAGGATGTGCTGAGCAGAAAAACCATGCATCCCCAAGTTGTAATCTACAGGGTTGCAATGCTGACCAGGTGACCAGCCATCGACTTGACTTCTTTCCTTTGATCTCGTGCGGAAGCATGTGTGATTCGCGCACGTGCGCGCGTGCGCATGCGTCGGCACACTGGCTACGCAGACAGCCTGCTGCAGCAGGGTTTTCAGACAGCTCTTTTCTTTGATCTTTCCAGGACAGACGCGCGGGAAGATCTCAAATCTCAGTCCTTCATGGGATTTGAAAAGTGGTATTGACTCGAAGCCTGAAAGTCCAAGCATTCAATATTCCCTCACCTTTGAGAAGCCCCAGTGCCCAAGGTGCCTTCGAGGGGCACACTCTTCAGGCTCGGAGCAGTAAAGCGAAAACAGGTTCTTCCAGCCTGGTCTGGGTCGGAGAGAGGAGCGGTCAGACCTCTATCTCACTTTGTCTTGCGAGTCTAGCTATGCAAGTGATGAGGACAGGCCCGACATGCGAAACCGCTAGGTCGATGTTTGGACGCGCAAGACGCCTGACGAGCCGGCTGCCTGAGTGCCGGAGTGAAAGCGGGCGAGTATGCGAGGTGGACCGCTCAGAGGTGAAAGGAGGGTCACATAATTTTGTGTGGAGGGCACTTTTTCTTTTGTTTTTTTAAGGGTACCTCTTGACATTTGGAGTCCGGGATCCCAGGTGTGGGTGGAGGGGCGTGCCCAACCCCCCGCTACAATGAAGCCAAGCCAGCCAAAGCCTCGCAAGGTGCAGGCTCGTACTCGGTTGCGGATGGGGCAGGCTGCCCACCTCAAAGCCTACCAAGGAACTCCAGACTGTAGTCCCTCGACTTTGCCTTGTCGGGTGCGTCGGGGTTGCTATCCTCACAGGTGGTTGTCATTGTTGGAGCCGGAATGTCCAAACTCCTCCCAGTTGCAGAGGTAGGAGGGGTCGGACTCGCCACCTTTGCAACTGCCCTCGTTTTTGGAACCTGAGCTGTGTGTCAAAGTGCTGACACTCAAGAGGGACAACAGAGGACCATAAACAAAGTCCCACGAACAAACTTTATCCACTTCGCATGCCTCATGTCTTCTTGTGCCTAGTCAGACCTGATTCATGTCGCCCTAGAGGGTCCAACCTCGTGACGTATGACGAGATCTGCGAGGGGGATTTGTCGCTGTTCGGCTTTAGCATGTTGTGCCTAGGATGCTGAGCAGGCTTGTTCACTGTCTGAGCGATCGGTTCCCCTGCGGCAATGATGTTTTGAATAGCAATGTGAAGAATGCTCGCGAAAAGAGAGAAAGACAATTCTTGAGCTGGCGGTCGCACATTCTCTGAAGCTACTTTCCTGCTGAGAGCACCGGCACGTCCATGAGCTCGGGCCACGTCTTCTCATTTCTTGGAATGTACAGAACTAGGCCCAAACCTCTCACTCGATGGGGTCCGTCGCTCACAGCCTGCAAATTCGGACGGCAAGGTTGTCAGCATTCGGATGTGCGTTGGCAGCGGCATTTCCTGTCTAGGATGTCTCAGCAGTTGGTGTCGGGTGCTATGCTTGAATGCTTTGTTTGGCTCAACCGCAATGTGACATGCAACGGCCCCTGCAGTAGGGTGCATGAGGTGTATAAATTGGCGCAGCGCATCCAGTTCAGGCTACCCTGAATAGATATTCCCCAAAGTGCTTTTGTCATTCCTGGCACCATGGACGGCGGCGGCGAGGGTGAGAAGGGCGCTGGCAAGGGTGGCTACAAGGGCTTTGGCAAGGGCTACTGGGGAGGCCTCCGGGCGGGGGGACTGCCGGGCATTTCGTCCGTTACCGCTCCCTGAAGCATACATGGTAATCCGCAGCATCCGGGCAGCGACCCTGGACCCCAAAACTCTAGACTCTAGACCCTGATTCTTCAGGGGCAACTCCGGTGAGCTGTAATATTCTGCAATGTTCCCAAACATGCAGGCCCCAAAATGATGGAGTCCAGGCTGGGGCTACCCCATGATGATGCCCTTCTTCGGCAAGGGCAAGGGCAAGGGACTGCGAGGCTCGGCGCTGAAGCCGCGCTCGGGGGCTCTTGGGTTCCCGGCCCCACTGTCTACGCTGCCAACCCGCATTCGATGAGAGCACTTTCAGCCCATATCCTACATCATCCTACATCTGCAGCGGCACTCTCCCCCGGGGGGGTCATTTTGCATACCATCCGCTGCCGGCACCGCCTTTGAACTGTATGTAGCCGGCCAGTGAGGGCCTCCTTGTCAAAATAGGGCGAGGGACAGTGCTTTGAACTGCGCAAGTTGTTAGGCTGTGTTTGATGCCGCTGCCAGGCTTCGCCAACGAGAAGAAGCTGGCCTTGTCAGTTTTGTAACTTTCAGGGAATGCGGAGACTGCAGGATTAGGGGTCTTTAGGGCGAAGCTCTTTGAGCCTGTTTGAGCGAGGGCAGGGTTTTAGTCCTTTGTCCTTCAGGGTTTGCGTCTTGCGTTTTCAGCATCCAGTTTCTGGGCGAGGACGCCTTTGTGAAGATCAGCTGTGAACTCACGGAGCCTCACTCTAGGGCTGTTGTGGACATCACTTTGTCCGTTTGAAAAGGTGCCCGGGTCCTGTGGTCTGGTCCCTTTGGCGCTCTCTGTGGTGTTTCGTAGTGCCTGTTTCTCTAGTCCTCCAATGCCCTCGTTCTCCAGTCCCTGCTCTTCTCCGGTCCCTCTAGGTCCTTTGTTGTGAGGGCCCTCTTGTCGATTAGTTGCCTCGCTCCTGGTCACACTTTTTTCTAAACAGCTGCGTGTGCCTGGCTGCAAAACAATTGGGCAAACCCGGCCCTTTACTTTCCATGAAAACGTCCATGCTCGCCTCAGCAATCTGTCTGCAAAAGGTGGGCCGCGCTTCCCCTTTTGTTTGCATTTGACATTGTGCCTGGTTCATGGGGTGTGACTGCAACCCTGAACCTGAAATGACAAGGAAACCGTTTTTGGATCCAGAGCGTGCTCGCAACCCCCATCCCCTCCCCACCGCCCCAACCCCCCCCCCACCCCACCCTGCCCACCAGCCCAACCGCCCAACCCCCCCCCCCGCCCACGAACCCTGCCCTGCTCAACCCCCCCCAACCCGCCCAGTACCATTTTTTGGGCACAGCAAAGCACCTGGTTTTCGATGCGCTCTTTATTTGGCTTCCAAAACATGTATTCCCTTCCGAAACGCTTCAGGAAAGTTTGGATCGGGGGCCTGCCGGATGGGCCGCGGGATGTGGAGAAGAACAAGACGCACGGCATTCAACACAAGGGTGAACCATCACTGGGGAGCCTTCTTGTCGTATACTCCGATTGCAGTCGGCAACTCGTAGCCTGCAGGGATATTCCACAAGAAAACGACCCCAGTGTGCGGACCTTGACTGGTCCTGAACACATGGCCTAGCGTTGTTTCAGTTTGCGGACCGCCCCTTCACCCTAGAGGCCCATGCTCAAGGGATAAGTTGTTGGGATTCCAGGCTTGCTAGGAGATTTGTGGGCCAGTGGGCCATGTCGCTCTCAGCCCTGCCTGCTTGCACCTCTATGGTAGAGCTCTTTGACTTTGATTTTGCTTGGTTTGCTTACGATTGCCCCCAAGGAAGCTCAAAGAGCACATGTCGCAGGAGCGGTGGGATTTGGGATCGAGGCTTCAGCGTTCTTAGTCGCAATAGAGTCAACAGGTAGGATGCTAAAGGTCTGAATCATAGCAGAACTGCAGCAGAACCTCTAATCTACAGAGCAAACGTTCCTTTTGGCAAGGGCCAGTGGTGCGACTTGCGTGTGGGTTGAGCGCTTGCAGTATATACATGTTGTGGAGGCTGCGTGTGAGGCACATGCATGTTGACACCACAACGCAACCTCCGCTTAACGCTGTCATCAGTTTGCACATCAGCAACAGGCATGCGAGATGAGCTTTCATTCTTCGATGGATGAGTTCGCGATGTTGGTGCTACATCATTCTTTCACTCCATCGCTGCTTCCATACATGCGTGAAATTCCGAGGCCTTCAAAACCCAAAGAAACACTTGAACTCTTGAAGCATCTCGAAGAGATTAAAAGAGTCAAAGGCTCAAGCCCACATCCTCCAAGCTCGATACTGCAGAACATTGAACACGACATTTTTCCCGACCAGGCTGGCGAGTGCGTTTTCGCTGAGATCATCAAGGGTGGTGCCGGTGGAGCGGCCTTCAAGAACCCCGAGGATGCTGGGGTAGTCACATGCGTCGCATCTCGAGGCATCAACATTTTTTCTCCACCCAGTACCCTTGTGCACCTTCTGCACCTTGTGCACCTTCTGCACCTTTTGAGAGTCCGTCCAGGGTCTGGGGGTTAGCGTTGACATGAGAGATGATCCTTGGAGCTCTATGTATGCTTGCTGCTATTGCTATAGCAGAACGGCTCCACCATCAAGAGTACAGATGCTAGTTCAGGGCATGTTGCCTTGTGTTGGCGTGATTCTTTTGCAGGTTGTTGCTTCAGGTTGTAGGGTGTCAATCGGTGTCAATTGTTGGCTTCAGCTGATTTGAACTTTGGGATTTTGCAGGTGCGGGAGAGTGTTGGGGCTTGGGCAGCTGGTGCCTGAACCGTAAAAGCCCTCCGTCATCTCTGTGCATGCGAAGGACGTGCCGAAGGCAATCGCGATGCTCAACGGCAGTCCCAAAGTTGCACTTGGCACTGAAGCCTATCAGACAACTTGATCGGATAACGGGGAGGGCCCGCATAAAGTAATGGAGGGTGGATCAGGAGGCAGGCGCCAACATCTGAAAACAAGCTTCCATTCCGTCGTTCACCAGCTCGCCTCGTGCAATGGTGGAGGTTTTGTGGCACCAGGGTTTCGGTTTCTCGGTTACAGTTTCGGTGTAGGTTTCCTGGAGAGGCCACATGAATGATACGGGAGGCCAAAGGAAGTTTTCAGGGGGCAACGACAAGATCCATAAGTACCAGAGGACATACGCTTTTACACCCAAACCCCGAGCCCGAACACTGAAGTCAAGTCGCAGAGACGCCGACCCAAGGCTCATTCGATGGGAGCACCATTCAGGCGGGGGGGCCGTTGCTCATGCGAAACAAACGAAACCGCAGCTGTTTTGGAAAGGTTCACAAAGACAGGTTGAAATCTTCGCCAAAAAACGCGAAGCCACCCAAGCCGATGTTGGAACCACGATGGCAAGATGCAGCCATGTGGCTCAAGGTTAAAGAACGAAGTGGCAGCTCTGTTGAACATCTTGTCTTTTTTCAACGTGCAACAATAAACGCTTGCGTTTGACCACTGTTTCTCATTGCTTCACATGTTTCTCATTGCTTCACATGAAATTATGCAAACTTGATGTAAACCGTGTTCGCTATCTGCTTTCTTCTGTTGCAGTCCGCGCACCTGTGTCTGTAAGCATGCTCAATTTGTACCGTAAACGCCGGTCCTATATTTACGTACTTTTTTTAATTGTTGAGATGTGAATTGTTGAAGGATTTCCCCAGAGTCGTGGGAGATGAACGGAGCCGAGCCTGAACTGATCGGAATCACTGCAGAGGTCGATGTTTGGCAGCGCAAGACGCCTGAGGCACCGCCCGCCTGATCCGGGAGCCACAGCACATGCTCTTATGAAGCAGAGAGGGGGATTTTGGGATTTTGAACTTCAAGACCCTGAGTTTCCGAATCGTCGGCGCTCTCTTGGCTCTCCCTCCTGCAGCTACACTTTAATCAGCCGTGTTCAGAGATTAAGCTGGCAGTCACCCGGCTGAAGCTTCACTTACGAGCATCGAGTCGCCGACAGCAGAATTGAAAGATCTCGTCTTTTCGATCAGTTGGAGCTTCTTCAGGCTGTGGATCTAGGACTTCATCAGGCCTTTTTTCCGAAGAAGAGGTGGGTTTCTGAAGGCAGTCTAGACCGAGCACCTTTCGGCACGATGCCCGATGGTTCTCCTGCTATGTTTGAAGCGGTGTCTGCGTTCTGTGGCTCTAGCGGCTATGATCTGTTGTGCAATTCTTGCATCCTATAGCATGCAGACGGAACTACGGGGATTCAATCGAAGCCTTTGATCGCTTGGGCCCGGAAGCCCAAACTAGAAGACTCCACAAAGCTCCGGTGCCATTCCTGGCACGATGGACGGCGGCGGCGAGGGTGAGAAGGGCACCGGCAAGGGCAAGAGCGGCTATGGCAAGGGCTACTGGGGAGGCGGGCTCAGGCTTCCGTGGTTAGAGCTTTCGGGGTTTTGATGGGGTCATGGGAGAAGGCAAACCATCACTCATCATGCAACACCCTCAACCGCCAATCGCAGCCAACCATGATCACCGCGCTACAGTCTGTGAGGCCCGAAAACCCTGAGTGAGAGTTGCTATCGAGGGCCGCGGGTTGTGGCTGTCGGGGTGGGGGGGGGAGTTAAGGAATGACAGGGATGGCTCGCATGTTCAGGTTTTGGGGGCGCAGGGTTTAGATTTTCAGGTTCCGGGCTGCTTGGACCAACAGCAAAAAAGATATGCTAGATGCAAGGCATTACTAAGCTATTGCCGAGCCCTGCCAACTCTGTTTCCACAGCGAACGCACCAACTCTGGGTTCACAGTTCGGAGAGGTGTTTCTTGGTGGCCGCAGCGCGCAAAAGACACGAGTAATCCCCTCCATATCCCCAATACTCGCCCCCAGAGTTACAACACCAAACCTCAAACATGCCCAAACATTGGCCCATACAAACGTCTCTGCAGGCTGGGGCTATCCCATGATGATGATGCCTTGGTTCGGCAAGGGCAAGGGCAAGGGACTGCGAGGCTCCACAATGCGCTGTTGCGAACAACTTCCTTTGTAGGCACCGGCAAAGTTTCTCAGGGCATCCCTCCACTGAGTCTAGCCGCGAGCCTTGCCTGTCCCAGCATTTTCTGCGCATGGCTCCGACACTGCTGCCAGGATTCGCCAACGAGAAGACGCTGGCCTTGTCAGTTCAAAACCTTTATGACAAAGACCTAAAGGGACCGGTCGCAGTCCAAAGGGGCGTAAAGCCTGCACCCTCATATGGCCCAACCCAATCCTAAAACTTCCGGATTCAGGGTTTGAGCTTTAAACGTTAGGGGATACTGAACTTGATCAGCTCAAGGATTCGAATGCTGGCCTTCTGCATCTAAGCCCGTGCCTGTTGTTATAATACGGATGCCTGCATATGCTTTTTTGATTCCTCAGTTGCTTTCCGCCGGAGACCCGACTTTGCAGTACAGTAAAATCACGAAAACTCAGGAAGGTCTGGATTGGGGGTCTGCCAGAAGCACCGCCGGATGTGGAGAAGAACAAGAAACTGAGCCGCAAGTGCAGTACGTTCAGCAGTTTCCCAAGCGGCTTCCAATGGTATTCATTGTTTTGACTTTTGTGACTTTGTCGATCAGGCTTTTGTTGATCAGGAGTTGTCCCAAGCCAAGCGAGCCTCTGAGCACCAAGGGCCTAGAGGCTTTCAGTGAGAGAGTATTCGATTCTGAGAAGCTAGCTCTCCTTAAAGCCCGAAGTCAGAAATTGCTTGGGCCTGTGCGTGGAGCGAGCCGAGGAAGCTCAAGGAGCACATGTCTCAGGCGCAGCGGGGTTCTCCCTACTAAACTTAGCGTGCTTCCTTTACTGATCCGGAAGAATGCTGGTTCGGCTGAGCTTGCTCGTAGACTTGGAAATGCTTTCCATTCCTTTTCCTTTTCCTTTCCCTTGCCGTGTTCGTTTCTGGCATCAAGGGGTCGCACTGACTATCTTGCACTCTTACTTCGAGCTTCGTAGCGGTGAAGGATTTTGCGAGTAGGCAACCATGCAACAATGCCAACAGTGTGACAAGAGAGCATATGCAGACCAGAAAAACTTGGGCCTCGAAAATCCCAAGCTCTCAAGCCCGCTGCTGCAAGCCCTGCACTTCTGCAGGTACCGTCCTCTTCAGCTAACCTTAGCCCTAAACTCCCCTCACCTTTCCACTGCACCCTGCACTGCAAAACCCTCACAGCACAAAGACCCCAAGCCCAACAGTCCATTCGTGACTAGGCTGGCGAGTGTATTTTCGCTGAGATCAACCGCAGTGGTGTGGGTGGAGCTGCATTCAAGAACCCTGAGGACACATGCTTGCGATTCTGAGGGGGCAACAGGGGCAGAGATTTGCATTTCTTCTTTCCCAGAAGAGGTTTGGTGGGGCATGGTGGGGTATGTGCGCATTTGTTGTTAGGGTTTTGCTATCTCATTAGGAGTTCTTGGCTGGGCGGTTCAAGCATTGGGGCTGCATATCCTGTAAGTTATGGATTTAAGTCAAGGCGGTTAAGTTTTAAGTCTGAGTGCTGGAGCAGTGAAAGCAAGTCCGAATTCAAAGCTCACTTCTTGCAAAGGACGTGCAGAAGGCCGTGACGATGCTTAATGGGAGCACCGATGTTGCAATTGAGCCCCGTAGCCCCCAAGCCATGCAAGTCGGATAAAGTTTCCGGAGCCCCCCCAACCCCCCCCCCCCCGGCCTTTGCCAAATGAAAGTTGCCATGTTTGGTGAGTGGGGGCGGTTTTGATATGGAGGGGGTGCTTTCAATGATGTGCTTCCAGAAGTGCAAGCCATGAGCTGCCATTTGGCACATCCTGTTGCGAAAGCAAAGACAGTAGGTCTTCACCGGTCGGCGCATACGAATTTGTAGCTGTTCCAGTTTGGACAGGTTTGGCAATCGTTGCTGTGCGCACAAGATTGAAAGCGAGGAGGTCCTCGCACGGATCCTGCCAAGGTACATTCGAGGGCCATGCCATTCAGGTTGGGTGATGCTTGAACCCGACAGCCTGTGAGGGCCCCCTTAGGGCTAAAATGCCAAATCCCACAGTCAATAAGCCCTTTGTGTGACATGTTCTTAGTCTGGCTTTGGCGGAATGTAGGGTTCAGGGCATGAGGGCTCTGGGGTTTGGGATGTTACGGCAGAGGGATGGGATTCCACATCTCCACGGCAGCAGCAGAAGCAATGTTCCAAGTGTCCAATGAGGCAAACAACCAGCGCGTCCTGCCTACAAAACCCCACCAACCAACACACCTGACGAACCATGCACCAAAAAGCCATCATACAACAGTCAGAGCTGTACCCACAGTTAAGGGTTTGATTGCAACACCTTTGGAATTTGAGGAGTTTCCGTTTTTGGGGTTCGAGTTTACCGGCTTCGTGTCTTGGGCAGTTGCAGTGCGCCCGCAGTGTTGGGATAAAAAGGTTTGGAGACTTGGTGGAGGGAGAAGGCCGTTTGCGGGTCTTAGAAGCTTACTATAGGGGTCAACTCTCGCACAGTAGACTTTGGCCATGCTGAGACGTTTCGGAGGTTGATGTCTGGCAGCGCAAGACACCTGAGACGCCAGCAGCCTGATGCACACAGTATATCATTTACTCTATGTCTAGGATGGCAGGGGGGGAGTTTTGGATGTTGAAGCGCCCAAGATTTCTGAGTGATGATTCTCTGCTCGAACGACCAGTGCCCCTCCTGCAACTTTTCTTTAAAGCGCCGTGTTCGGAATGTGTGCGAAGCAAAGAGAAAAAGTTGAGCCACCTGCCACACACGATGCATGTAGCAGCAGCACGAACGCTCGGCTTCCCAGCAAGCCTGCAACAGGAGCAAGCACTGCAAAGCTCAGTAATGCCTACTGCTAGATGTGAAGGTGCATAGAGGGATAGGGAGAGTGAAGTTCTGCCTGGACTTTCTTCCGGCCTCAAGGAATCCAGGAAAGTCACTTCCATTTCCCGCTAGGCCTTCTGAACCGAAAATCCCCGCATCATTGAAACCCAGATGCCACTCCCCAAACTCGAATCTTTACAGCTTTTTGCAGCCTGGAGCAAGCCGGAGTTTCTGGTCCTCGGAGTCACTCTTACTCTTGGTTCTTGACGAGACAAGTCCTGACTGGAATATGAGTCGTTCGATATATATATATATATGTATATATGATATATATATATATATATATATGTATATATATGGTCCGGCGTCTGGCGTGTCCGCCCCCCCCCCCCCCCCCCCCCCCATGGTATGGTCAGGTAGGGGGGGGGGGGCCGACTGTGAGCACACCCTCGGCAAAACCCGTGTGTTGGGAGTGTTGCGCCTTCGGTTGAGGGAGCACGCCCTCGGGAAAACCCATGTGTGTGAGGCGTTTATCCCCCCCCCCCCCCCTCCAGGTCTACGGTCTCTAACCCTAAACCCTAAACCCTTTCAAACCCTAAGCCCTAAACCCTAAACCAACCCTAACCCTAAACCCTAAACCCTAAAACCAACCCCCAAACACACCACAGGGGGGGGGGGGGGCGGGGCGGGGTTAACCCTAAACTCTAAACCCTTTCAAACCCTAAACTCTAAACCCAAAACCCTGAACCCTAAACCAACCTTAAGCCCTAAACCCTAAAACCAACCCCCAACCACAACCACACCACAGGGGGGGGGGGGCTAACCCTAAAACCCTTTCAAACCCTAAACCCTAAACCCTAAACCATAAACAACCCGAACCCTAAAACCAACCCCAACCACACCACAGGGGGGGGGGTTCCAGACCATGGGTGGGGGGGGAGGGGGGGGCCGGGGAGCACTGGACCATATATATATATATATATGTATATGTGTGTGTGTGTGTGTGTCTCTCTCTCTCTATCTCTTTTACTGGTGTCTGCTTGCGTTCCAGGTGTACCGGTTCCGACTGTCCTTTGCCATCGCACATGTCATGTAACGACCGCTACCACACCGAAGCAAGTTTCCGAAAGTCATCGCTCAACAAGGGACCCATGGAGTTGTTATGCGCTGGTGCAACGCAGACATGAGCTGACATGCACTGTGATGTTGTGCAGCTGTTTGCAGAACAAACGCACCATTTGCATGTCGAAATTTAAACGCAGTGTTCCACATGCGCAATATGCACAGCTGGCTTTTGCGCATTGGCAAGGCCTTCCATAGCTTGCAAAGGAACGCAACAGTGGTGTTTTAAACGCCGGCCTGGCTTGGGACTCGCTCTTTGTGCCGCAGCCTGGGTTTCTCAAGGCACTTGCAGAAGCCAGCAAAACCCAAGCCAACCATCATGGCCACAGATTCCAGAGATTCCGCAGATGACGGTGACACCCGCCACAAAAGCTCACTCTGTTTAACCACACAGGCAACTCTCAGTACAAGACTCCGACATCTCACAGAGACTTTCTTTAGGCTCGCCTTGGTCAGGCGGGGAGGGGGAATGCATGAATTTGGTTGGAACAGTCTTTCATCTTTGGAAGTCGCTCTCCTGGATAAATTGCTTTCGGAGGTGTCTTGTCGAAGCTACCATCGATGCAGCTAGTCGCAGAGCCTTGTTTTTGGAAGGTTGTTGGGATGTAACCTGTGGTATCTGCACGTATCCGTGAACACCTTAGCATCATCCGGTTCTACAGGCCTAAGCCCAGTAAACTGCCAGCGCGACTTTCGTTGCGTGTGTGCATGTTGCACATCGTGATCTTGCGGTCGCATCTAGCGTGAGGTCGCTTGGGTGGTAGATCGTTCGTAGTTAGTTCCTGCGTCGTTCTTGCAAACGAAAGGTGATGGAACCGGTATCCATCTTGCTGGCTACAGGCGCATCGACGCAGTTCGAGCTGCTCAGCGGTCATGTTCACTTCATACTAGTAAATCCGTACCCCCACCAGGTATGGTCACAGGCCATGTTCCGCAATTGGAAACCTGTGGTGAACTTATCTGTAGGGTCAGAGTCTGAGCTGGTATATAGAGTAGGAGAGGCCTGGGGACCCGGGTGGGCCGTCCCCCCCTCATGCCTTTGGCAAGACCTTAGTTGGCGTGAAGCGCGTGCTTAGACAAGCACACGTCAGAGGGGTAGAACGGGGTAGATTAATGCCGTGCCAAGCATGTGAGATTCAGAAGACGCTTTTTGAGGCCAGCCAAAAAAATCTCATTTTGGGCCATTGCCAGGTCAGTCTTGAGAACCTTCAAAACCGTCCGCCCTCCGAAAGAAGACCGTACGCTTTCCAGGCTCTCCAAAGCGGATTTTGGCCCAGGTCGAATCGCAATGCGTTTTCACGACTTCTCAGAGCCTTCCAAGACTCATATTGGCCCAGGAGTGGCCCAGGTCAGCCTTCCAAAACAGTGTTAGGTTCCTCGCCGCCAGGGAATCAGCATGCGCGTTGCAGGCATCTGTAAACGCACCTTTTTCCGAACAACACAACCATACCGCGACGTGAAGATTGCATTTGTCAAGGCCTCGAAAGTCCTAGCTGGACGAGTGGATTGCAAAACTCGGTGCAGAGGTTTGCTTGGGAGCCGTGGCGGGCAGATTCGCAAGCCCAAGCTTGGCAGGCAAAATGCCTTTTGCAGGTCTTGCGTAGACGCATTTTCCGGACGGCTCGTTGACGTGCACTGGCCTACCCTTCCTTAAACAAACCTGTGCCCAGCACAACGTGCTTAGACATGGACCAATGCGCACGCTTTGCAAGGCCGCGAAGTCTGCTTTGAGGTTTAGGGTTTGGGGAGTCAGGGTGTCGAGCAGGCCTTCTAATTCGCACCCTAAACTTCAAACCTAAAACCCTTCTTCAAGCCATAAGCCCTAAACCCTAAACCCTTTGAAGCCCAACGTTAGATTTTGTATTTGAGTCCGCTGTGGACGGGTTCTTATCACAAGCGGGTTTTAGTTCCCGAAAATGGGCCGCCCTGGAAGGGGGCTCAGGAAGCAAGAGTGGGCGTCGGGTTCCAACACTTGAGTACAGACACAGTAGCCGCTTTGATTTTGAGGTTGTGTTTCGGATTTTTGGAGGATTGGGTCCTCCGTTGCCGCCGCTTCCGACGCAAGGGCCTGCAACCCTTCACGTACATCCTGACATTCCAAAATTTGAAGATCGTGGCCCGACCCCACAACGCAACTTATCCTAAACCTGCCTGCTCAATTGCCACCAACACCAAGCAACGCAACCATCGTGCCGCATGAAAATGCGTTTCTCAAGGATGCCTTGCTCAAGGCCTCAAAACGCATTAAAGTCCGAAAACGAATGGCTCCCGGACATGGGGCGATCTTTGCTAAGATATCAAACAGGCTGCTGTCTGGCTCTGAACACGCAAGTCCCAAAAGGCCTCGGCCCGGAAAGATTGTGCAATTACGGAGGGGCGGGGGGTTCTAATTACATTCTGCGATTTGGATTGTGCAATTACGGTCTTTTTTGACACGTGTGGAGCGCGCAAAGCCCTTTGCAGCTAGCATCGGTGTTGTGTGTTCTTGACAAAATGAGTTTCCACAGCCTGGCAAGTCAACGCCGTGTTAGAATCCTGTGAATCTCACTGCCGGGCAGGGCAGGGGCTGTGAGATGTATTTAAAGGCGTAATATTAGGGTGCCCAATACAAAATCCTGTTTTCCTTGACCTTAGACGAGGCGGAGGGTTCAGGCTTAGGATGTAGGCTGCTTTAGGTGCAGGGCCTCACCCTTGATCCCCGAATCTTGTGATGTGAGCGTCC